CGCAATGGTCTTGTCGCAGGGGCGGGAGTGAGCATCGCTCCTGATGATACCGGAAGGGACAGTCCCACGGTAGGGACCCTGGTGGCTCTCACACCGGAAGAGGCGGTCATCACACCTCATCAGACAGGAACTGGGACCAACCCAGCTGTGGGAGAAGTGAGGGTTCACTTTCCCCGTGTTGGGTTCGTGATCAGGCCTGTTGGGCAAGTGAAGCTCTGAGAGATAGTTTTATAGACAGCCGAATAAGGTCTAGCGTGCCAAGCCAAAACTCGGCGCCTTCTGCTTGTAGTGCCGCAACCGATGTGACGAGATGAGAATTAGATCCAGGATCCTTTTCATCCCAGTTCATTGTTCTTACAAATCAATTCGCTGCGTTAGTCTCCTCAAGTGCCTACTCTTCTCTCTCTCCCTGACCCAGCGCCATGTCTTTAAGACTCAAAGATCCCATGAGAGGACACAAAGAGCTGGCCACGCTTAGCTTGGTCCAGGGGACAATGGCAAACCTTTCTTTCCACGTGGTTGATGTGCCATTGGAATATAGGAGCACAGGTATTAAATAAGCAGTATGTGCAAAACCTTTGCTTTATCTACTCCGGTCGAGCGGCGGGGTTGTAGAGCTTCGTGATGTCCTGCAGACAGTGCATTAGCGCAGCAGGACCAACATTCGCCCTTCCTTTTTGAACGCCGTACATACCTGCTTCCATCCAATGACGTGACCGAAGTTAGGGCTGTTGGGAGAGCACGACTCGGTCCTGCGAGGAGAAGATATACAGATAGCAAGACACTCATTAGCATCAGCGAACCAGTAGTCTTCTCGAATGACCAATCCGCTGCCCGCCGTAAGGATGATTCTCTGGTCTGGACTTTCCAGTTCGTGATTTGAAATTCATGATATAGCACTGGTCTGAGAACGCCACGGGCAAAAGAAACTCACACCCTCGTCACGAATGCTTGCTGTTGTGGGTTTTACGGAAACGCCACGGCGTTCCACACTGAGGTAGATAGCACTCAACATAAGGGAGCAGTCAGAAGATTCCATCTGACAAAGGAGCACCAGTCAGGAACGTCTGCAGAAGGTTTGAGTAACTTAGTACCATATGGCTCACATCTCCAGTCAGGACTCTAGCGGCAGCGGCTGAAGAAGGTGTCGGTCACAATAGTGGTGATTGCGGCACCACCCACAAATTGATCAGAATCACGAAACGCTGCCTCATCAGTTTCGCAATGGAGTTTCGTTGGAAGCATGAAATTTTGAAGGGCTGAGAACGTTGCACATGGCATAAGGACTCAATCACCAGGTTTTCTAAAACCTTATCGATTTTAGGAACGGTGAACTTAGGAATGCAAAGAGGTCAAAGGGGCCGCAAGTTTCCACGATTGGTCTTCGGGGAATGCGGCCTCGTGAAAGATATGGTAAGTGTCTTAACCGTTGGTAATAGGGTCCCTCTGAGTGATATTTGCAGATGTGCATAGGTGACTGCAAGAGGTTCACAGATGAGAAGCGAGGGAGGTTGGCCCAACACGTTATGCGATGCCCTTGGGCGCTCTCTGCTGCTTTGCGCCGGCAGACGATTGAGTCCAGGGGTCCCTGCTAAGTACCAGTTTAGCTTTCTACCCAGACACCGCAAGTCAGGATTGTACGGCATCAGTACGGACTCTTAATCCCGCTGCACCTCGCTTAACCTCTTCCCACCATGGGCGGAGAAGACCATCATTCTCCGCAGGAGAAACGGTCAGCACTTAGACCGAGGATATCCTAATCTAGACAAGGCTGAGGTATTCTGCGGGGACTCCGCAATATCTGGCATGCTCGGGCAAGGAGCCACGGCCTTCTGTCCTATGTTTCCTGCTGCCAACTGGACCATTCAGAGTCAGAAACACCCTACTCAGGATTGAGTGCCAGGAGCCGTCGATCAGTTACCACTGGGCTCATTTCAGCAGCGACCGAGGATGCCCCGGTTGCTAATTCCTATATGCATGCACCAGCCCCCGTCATTGCAGGTTTTCAGTGCATACCTCTTGCGTGCTCTTCCCTTTTTCTCGGGTCTTATCGAGAAGGCAACCTTCGACCATGGGTGAACATAGCTCCAGGATGAATCGATACAACTGGCTCTGCGTGCTGTACGTGACCTTCGGAGCCGTCTTTTATGGCTACGACTCTGGTAGGCATATTATATCTCGAGGCTGCCCCGGACATAAACTAACATTCAGAAAAAGCTTGCACGACTTCAGTCCTTGGGTATACGTCCTTTCTTGAGTACTTCAGCTTGGACTCCACTACCATAGGCGCCATGGGATCAGCCTACTACGCTGGAGCCGTGGTTGGCATGGCTTCGAACTGGTACCTGCCCAACAAATACGGACGTATTCGAACCATCCAAATTGGCTGTCTGGCGTCTCTGCTTGCCGCGGCAATGCAGACAGGAGCTCATAGTTATGGTGTCTTTGTTGCCGGCCGAGTTATCGGTGGCTTCGCGTCGGGCCTGATTTTCGTGGTCTGTCCTGCATACGCCTCTGAGATCGCGCCTCCCAAGATGAGAGGTCGAATTGGCGGTCTTTATTCGTAAGCCGCCTTCTAATTTTATCAGTATCTCTGCTGATATTTTTGCAGAGTCAGCGTTAACGGAGCTTACTGTTTTACTGAATGGGTGTAAGTCTGCTTGCATTCATGATCGAATGTAAAATGTATGCTGAATAAAATCCAAGTGGTCTGGGATTCTACTTCATCAAAGGCGACGTGTCCTGGCGTCTCTTACTAGGCTGCCAACTCATCCCCGGCACTCTCATGTTCGCCTGCTCCTTCCTGATGCCAGAGTCACCGCGCTTCCTTGCATATGTCGGGCGCTACGACGAGGCGTTGGCAATCCTCAAGAAAATGCACGGCACTACACACGACGATACATTCTACATCCGCGAATTCCACCAGATCAAAGCCCAAATCGAGCTTGATAGGGAGGAGCGCCTTGGTCTCAAAGCAATCTGGCAAAGGCCGTCGTACCGCAAACGATTTTTGCTGGTGTTCTGGTACGCAATTGCATGCATGTAAGTCTATCACAAATCCGCACAAAGACTCGAATGGACTCAACTAATATCTGATTGCAGGCTCTCTGGTGTCATCGTCATCCAAAATTATCAAGTCATCCTTTATACGAATGTCGGATTCAGCAACGTCATGTCTCTCATCCTGACAGGTGTATGGGGTTGCGTGGGCACGCTCTCTGCCATATACGCAGCCTTCTGCTTCGACCTCATGGGAAGGCGACCAACGATGGTACGTCTTTTTCCCTTGTCCTGAAGATAGACCTTGCCCTGACCAGATATAGTTTATCTCATATTTCCTTATTGTGGCCGGAACGCTCACAACTTGCATAACCTGGGCGATCTACGAAAACGGCGGCAGCACCAACCGCTCGCTCGCGAAGGGGATCATTGCAGCCATGTTTTTCGTGGGGCTCGGGTATGGCGGGCCCGCCAATGCTTTCCTTGCAACGGTTCGTATTCAATCCCTCGTATTAAGCCACTCGGGAAAAAAAAAAGGAAGCCATAAACTGACGTCTGCTTGGGGGAATTTCCTTAGTATCCCGCCGAAATCATGCCTACCTCCGTCCGCCCCGTCGGCGTAGCTGTCAGCTACATGACACAGCACGTCCTGATCATCATCCTCGTGCAATTCACGCCGCAGGCCATCGAAACCATCTCGTGGAAGTTTTTCCTGATATTCGTGTGCTCGAGTTTTGTCTTCGCCATCGTCTTCGTCTTGTTTTACCCAGAAACGAGGAACAAGACGCTGGAGGAGATCGAGGCTGTTTTCGGTGATAAGGTGAGCTAAAAAGCAACCCGCCTTTTTTTCCCCAGATTTCATGTGATATGCCTGATTGACGCCATTTCTTTCCTTTCATTTCACTTCATTTCACTTTGTTTGGAACGTGTTGATTTGGGAGAGACCGGGGCTGGCTAACGAGTTGTCTTTTCATGTAGGTCGCTGAGACACTGGACGAGGCTGCGGAACATATCAAAGTCGAGCACGTGGAGGAAAAGACCCAGTCGCAGGGACATGTCAGCCCCGTGGCTATCCATGAAGAGAGTACTGGCAAAGAACATACTGCTTAGGGCTGCTGCGAAGGAGGTTGATGGACTCGCGGATACATGGTATACTTTCAGAGCACGCAACGTTATTCACCATTGAGGGAGAATTCTCTGATCTCTGACAACCTGGGACGTGTATATACTACCAGGTGCCCATTTGGATGAATTATATACGCAAGAAGCATCACTCGCGGTGCTCGCGGAGAGTCGTATCTCTGCTACTACCTATTATTCTTTAGCTAACTAGGGTAAGCAAAGATCGTCGACCGTCCAAGGATATCCCGAGGGCAAAAGAAAAGAAACAACAAAGCAAAACAAGATAACGATGTAATCCATACGCATTGCGACTGCTTTGTCAGTTAGCCCTTTCCATGAGTCCATCGACCCCGGACGGCCTCGGAACACCGAGTCGAATAGTAGTGGGTGCGAGATGGGATTTCCATATGGAGTCGTCATATTTTCCCGCTTTTAACTGGCTCGCCGGCTTCGGTCGCTGCGGGATATGTATCGTAGATTCTGGAACTTAAGCGATCATGTAGAGTTACGAATTAGCCATTGAGATCGTACGTGCAAATGGCGGAATTAAGTAACAAGAAAAGGAAAGGCTAAACCAAACAAAGCCTTGTGTATGTATCCTTTGCCTATTACTTATTACCAAAACCCAAAATGCCATTTCAAAAGTCCGAGCTGAAAGCCTAAACGCCCGTCTGGACGCCTTGACATCTTGACGACCTCTGAGTCCGTAGACCGACCCATGGAATCCCGGATGAATAGGAATGAATTGCAAAGACACACACTATGCCTCCTCCATCTCCATCTCCATCTCCGCCTCCGCCTCCGCCTCCTTCTCTAGCCCCTGCAGGGTGTAATCCATCACCTTCTCGCCCAAGCTTCTCAGCGTGTATGAGCCTTTCTCACAACTCATACACTCCTTCGCCCATCTTTGAAAGAGGCTCTTCAATTTTCGACCGCTCTCGGCGCGCCTGAGCAATCGCAAGCACTCGATAGTCATATGTGTCCTTCATCACGTGGTCGCGATCGCTACTACTGTACACTCGATTGTCCTCGCCCTTTTGCAGCGCCAGGCCCATCGACGTAGCCCGATGCGGCCCCAGGACTCGGTTCTCCAACAGTGTTTGCAGCTTGAGTTTCGTAGCTTTGGGGTGCTTGTCGTTTTTGTGCTTGAGGTGCATCTTCTCGCTCTGTTTGCGCGAGTTTTGTAAAGCGAGGATAAGCAGGGACTGACGCGCGGGTATCACAGACTTACGATATCGGCGTCGTGGCGGAGGCAGAGGCCCACGCCAGGGTGTGACTTGTGAGGCATCCTCACCTTCTTCATCATCCTCACGAACGCCAACAACAACGTCAGCGCCACCGTCCACTGCGAAGCAGTCATCAGAGAACATGGGAACGCCATCATTGTTGCCAGACTCACCGTTATTGAAGCCGATGAGACGAGCCTGCTGGGAGAAATAGAGTTGGTGTTGGGCCCAGGCGACCTCACCATCGTAATCATCCTCATCTGAGACTTGCGAATCTTCTGAGGAAGTCAAATTACCTTTAGGAGAGGAAGTCGGAGCGGGTCTATCCCAGAGGCGCCAGGCCTCGTTGCCCTCGTCGCCGTCGTAATCTACGACATCACCCGGATTTCGAGCACGTACCATGTCCGCAGAATCTCGCGCAGAACCGGAAGCAAGGGCAAACTGGAACATGTCATGTGCTGTTTGCCTAGGGTCAGCCATTCTGCAACAATACTCGAGTAAGGAGTCTTTGATTCCCTTGCCGTGAACAGGAGTCGGGAGAAGTGATTGATCTGGAACCGGTAGTAGCAACAATGAGAGTTTTGTTCCCCGTGCAGTGTAAGCTAGCTGCTGTTTCCTGACCGGGAGGTAACTGATGGACTTGGGAAAAGCGAAAGGGAAAAGCGTAGGAGTGGCCTATATATAGTAGAACATCCAGCCTCTCCAGAGATTTAACTAAGGTTGTAATGAAGGGTAGTCCGGCTGCCTTTGAATACAAAGCGGTGACAACGCTCTGGGACTCTTGACAAAGCTTGAAGATTCGAGCCACACGAATCGGATGAAGGCTTTGTTGTCGCAATAGTCGAGAATCCTGGGAAAGAAGAGCTTTGAAGCTCTGAGCGCGCGGCTCTTCCTTTGTGTTGGCGCGACCAAAAGGGTCAACTGCTTCGCTGAAAGTTGGTGTATGTGAAAGAAGCTTCCCCTTTCATTCTACAAAACTGCCCCCAGTTAGAGCCTGTCTTCCGTCGCGAGCGAACATGGTATTGCAAACAGCAACACCCCATTGAAAGTTGCATGTTGCTGCGCGCGGCTTGGGGTCGAGGTTGTCGATGTGGCGAGGAGTCGAGTTCATTTTCGTGAATCGTTGACATAATCGACGTAGGATTCTTGTCATACCTAGTTAGCGAGCAAGGAGAGTCGGTCACAATGACCAAGTTGACGGTAGAGCTTTCTGTGCTGAGCGTCTCTATATCCAAGCACCAATAGAAGAAAGGAAAATCTGAGGGGCTCGAGGAGTCGACTACCCTCCTGTGTGAATCCCATCCTGGTCGCATGTCAGGTCGTTTTGTATAACACTCTCCCTAATTCTTTGCAGATTCAGGCGAGGCCGCTTCAAGATTCTGATATTTCACACCGCTGTTTACATTTACGGCCTAGCTAACTCCAGCTTCTCCAGGGGGTGAGGAGAAACTATTTTTCTGAACAATGACATAATTTCTGGGACATTTGTGCAGATGAGACATTCAGCAGGGCTAGCAATGAATAAGTATCTCCAGTACTTGTGTCCGCACTGCTCGTTGATACAACTTACAGCCCCCAGCTTCGCCAGACCGTGGTTGATTCTAACCCCAGAAAGCCTGCCACAACCTGATCCCTCGGGGTGTATCTCTTGTTTTGGGTGTTCGAATTTCGAATTCCGCTTGCCCCGCTTCCGGCTGCGTCTGCTCTGTCACCAGTTTCAGGAGGCGCAAGAAAGCGTCAATGAATACGGGAGCTGTAAGTACCGCGGCCGTTACTGTCAGGAGGCGGATACGGGAAGAACACCCTGCGAGGCCAACGAAAATTCTCTGGTACTTACATCGAATCTAGAATCAGGACCACCTCGATATTTGATCAGCAGACCGATTCATATGAATGAAGCCACCACTCCGCAGAGAACAAACACTTTAAGCTGGAGCACTTTCATGATGATCAAACCCAAGATAGAGGGTCAGAGGACTGCGCAAATCCCATAGACAGACGCCATGCAAGTAGCAGCTCCAATATTGAAATCGTGGGATACAGAAAGTTGGGTGAACGAGGAGTTGGCATGACAAGATATGGCGCCTGGTTGAGAACACATTTTCGGTTTCAGATCAAGCTTTCAGCGCGATGCCACGATCGATAGCTATTGCAGACAATTTGAGAAAAGTAAAACATTTCTCCAGCCCACGGAAAATGTAATTCCCGGCTACTATATTTGTACGTCCTTTTCTGATCGAGGTAAGTCCTTCGTAAATAATCCCTCTTTTTTTTGGTGAAACCCGTGAGAACAGCACTGTGTGACAAAGTTCACGAATATATGATAGATGGTGTGAGACAGAATGAGTTTCAGAGTGACGAGATCGCCGCCCAGTTAGCCGTTGCCAGTGTGATCAATAGCACTAACAGGGCACGCCGACAGCGCCAGCAGCGCCATTTACATCTTGCTGTCTAATTAAGATTACGTCGCCTAGATGTCGCCGACATGGAGCCGTCGGTAATGGCTGCACTGGTGTTGCTAAATCTCACAACGGTTTCGATTTGGCTGCAACACTCCGTGATACTTGTGCCTCAGCACCCAACTGCTCTTCTGAACACAAGGTACACGCCCTCCGGATGCAGAACTTATCGCTGCTGAGAAAAGCCAGAAGAGGCGTACAATCATATGGTATGATAGGGAGCGAGGAGTGATCAATATCAAGAGAGTCAACAAGTCTTGATGGCAGCACCTTTGACTGATAAAAGTAGACAGACGCACAAGGATTATATCTGCTGAGTTAGTCTCTCGATATTAATTATGGAAACGGAGTGGTGCTCTCTAGACTGAAAAATCCAATACTTATAGGGTTTATTTATAATCTAAAGTAGATCCTTTGTAAAGGACCCTTACAATAGAGGTCCGATGTGCAACCTCTATGTGCAAACCCCACTCTCTTCGGAGGTCCCCGCCGGCGAACTGCTCGAGCCTCTATTGAGAATAGTTCAGTCGAGACGGAAAGCGGAGGGGTAAGCTATTACCGCGGCTCATACCCGAGATATCTTTGGCACCAAAGAGTACCATGCTATCAGCAGGCGTCAGTAACCTGCACGACCTGAGTTTTACCAAAGCCTCCAAAGACATTCGGACATCAAGATGCGAGTTTACAAGTCGCAACGCAAAGACCTTAACATCCCATGTATGGATATTTTGTCGCTATTGTTTGGTAAGTCGGACTAGATGCATAGCATTTTGGCACATTTGCCGGTGGCTGATCTCTTGTATTGTAGACTCCGAATTTTGTTTGGCTCGTGAAGAAACCAAAATCCATGTGGAAGCTGCCAATCCGTCAAATAGTATCACGAAAGCCGAGGCCCGCAGATTGCTCAAGCGGGTTGCGTACGTCCTTCAACATCGCTACGGTATCGGCGCCTCGGGAGCTGGCCGCGATGTCGTTCTGACTGTCGTTTACGGAAGTCCTTTTGCGCCCGTGTTCTTCTATGGGCTCGTCGCTGCCGGAGGAGTCTATTCCGGTGCTAGCACAGAATGTTCTGTGGCAGAATTAGTACGCCAGATTGAGGACGCCAAACCCACTCTGCTGGTCTGTTCACCGGAATGCGAGGCACGAGTGGTCCTGGCAGCCCAAAAGTGCGGCATTGCGAGGGAGAGGATCTTGATTTTAGACAGCACGATCCCCCACGGCTGGAAATTGATCTCTGTCGCAGACCGGTCTGACGTGCTCAGATGGAATGGGGATAGAATGCATGACTGGCCACATATCGCCGACCAGCGAGCGCTCGAAGAAGTCACGATTTGTCTCTTGTACTCATCTGGGACTACAGGGTTGCCGAAGGGTGTCCGAATATCCCACAGGGGTCTTGTATCAAACAATGTGTGCACCATGGATGTTGCTCGCCGCTATCGGGCCCGCTGCAAAAAGGAAGGCCGAGAGTTTTTGATGAACACTATTGCACATCTCCCTATGAGCAATATCGCCGGGATTTCTTTGTACGCGACTTGTCCTTTCTACATGGGTGGCACGACCTGGTGGATGAAAAGTTATGACTTTGACTCCTTCCTCGAATATCATCGACGCTACCGGCCAGCATACCAGTTTACTGTACCGCCAGTCTGGCTGCGGATTGCAAAGAGCGACAAGGTAACAGACCATTTCGACGGGCTGGAGGTTGCCGTCACGGGAGCTGCGCCGATAGGAGAAAGCGTAATAAGGGACGTGAGGAAGAAATTGGGCCGGGGACGAGCTCACATGGCGCAAACTTGGGGAACTACAGAGACTACCGGTGTTATCGCCGCCACCGATTGGCCTGCATACGCAAATCAGAAGACCTGGAGTGTCGGGGAGCTGTGCCCAAACGTCGTTCTTCGCGTCGTCAACGAGAATGATGAGGATCTAGCCGAAGGCGAGTCCGGCGAGCTCTTAGTTGCAGGTCCGATCCTCTCAAAAGGCTATCATAATCGGCCTGAGGCTAACCAGCAATCGTTTGTGGACGGGTTCTACAGGACGGGAGACATTGGGATGTACAAGGACGGGCTTGTCTATATCCATGATCGAAAGAAAGAACTGATCAAGTACAAAGGCAGCCAAGTTGCGCCTGCGGAGTTGGAAGCATTGCTCACTTCTCACCCTCTCATTGCGGATGCCGCTGTCATCGGGGTTTGGGATGACCAACAACAGACCGAGGTCCCCCGAGCATACGTGGTTTGCCGTCAATTGTCCGAAGGCCGAGCCATCACAGCTCAAGAAGTGCTAGATTTTGTCAAGGGCAACGTGGCTAATTACAAGCAGCTGCGTGGAGGGGTTTTCTTTCGCGACGAGATACCTAAAAGTGCTTCAGGAAAGATCCTCCGCAAGGAAATCCGATTGGAAGCAAACAAGCCTCCTCGAGCGAACCTATGAATAATGCCTCGCCTGTGCTTTTTTGGGGGGGAGGAGGAGGAGTCTCGAAGTGGTACATTCTTCGTGTCCCACTCTCGAGCCCTTCGGTTCGACGCGCTAAATCTGTTCCCAGAAGAAAGTCCTGACAAGAAGGGGCCCAATGGAGAAGATTGTCCTACCTACTTGCCTGGTAAGATTCTGGGGGAACATGGCCGAGGTTTAGAACAAATAAAAAAAATTTACAATTGAGTTCTATGATACCGAGTACTTGATCAAGCTTTTATCTGGATGGCGACACCGTCGTCTATATAATCCCAGCAACAAAATCCGACCGGGACAGCGGTCTATCTGTGACGCGGATCAGAGTCCAGACGGGTTGATAGCATTTGTGTTTTACACAGAACAGGAGTGGTTCTATCTGATTGATTGTGTCTTGTCCCTCTGCCTATTCAGAGAGGCTCTGCCTGTTTATATATACATTGGCCTGTAACCACAAGAGCATTCCTGAAACCTCCTACTCCGTCGCCATCCTGTCACAGAACTGCAGGAACAACGAGGTTGAGGCAGTTTGCGCAGTTGGTGAAGCGTCTAGCGTCTCAGGTGGTTTACCACAGTGGCTATCTTGCAATCCTGTCAACACTTTCCCTGTCAATATATTGGCACTGTGAAGCTGGGAGGGGAGAGAATATCCGCCGGCGTTGAACGGGAAATTATTCTGTAATTGCGGATTTAGTGTAGGGAAAACCTGATCTACTACACGCACAAGGATTGTTGGGGACAGTAATATCGGGTTTTCTTCATCTTCGAGACATCAAACACATCCTTCTCGGGAGTTGGGGCCCTTCAAAACGTAATCAACGGAGGCATTGCGACCATGGAAATAAGAAGAGAAGAAGTAGCCTTTGCCCAAAAACCTTTCTCATTCCACTGCAAACAAACTTGGGATTGGTTCTATTGATCATGTCTCCAGTCTATTAGGCCTTCTCTTACACTCAAATGTAGTGTGGGGAATGCCTTACCATCGTGCCATTAGAATCGACTTCGGTAATACACTGGGCACCCTTTTCGAGTTCCCTTGGACATGTTGACAATACGCCATTCGGTTCTGGTCCGAATACACGGACAAGTTCGCCATGCTGGTTTGGGGAGAACCAAGATTTCAAGACTTCTTTCCAGAACGATAAGTCTTCGCCTTTTGCTCGAAGCCCACCAGGGAAGAAAATGTTGAGGAGCGATGCGCCAATGAAGGTGGTGTCAAATGTTTGCTGCACCTTTTTGAGGACCTCGGCTACCTCCTTGGCGGAAAATTCCTGATCCTTCTTGACGTGAACGCCAAGGCAATCTGGATGTCGACCGGCCCCGGCTGCTTCCAAGGTGTAAATGCTTCCAAGAAGACCGACACCGAACAGGTCTAAATATTGTAACTCTGTCAGTTTTCTCCGTGAGGATGGAAAAAAAGAGGCCCGGCTTCTGGAGACTCACACCACGTATGTTGCTCCAAACCCGCCACAGTGACCAGAAGGAGGATCCAGAAGAGAGCCAGGATAGCTGTAGCACACCGGGTTATATGAGATGGGACTGCAACTCGTGAGTTTTGAGCTAGGATTTCGAAGTCAAGACCGGAATTGCCATCTGCGACCATGACTATGGCCGTGCGCGTACCGTTGCCTCTGGTTAGCGTAACCGTCGAGCCTCCCATAGTGCGGTTCGCCCATTTCTCCTTTCGCCACTGGGGAAGGGAGGCTCCGCAAACAGCGAGACAGTTCCCGGACAATGTGACGAGAAAAGGTGCCCAATCTCTGTTCAATATCCATGGGAGAATCGACAGCATTAGCTGGATGAGAATGACGGCAAAGCCCAAGAACCATACCCAGTCGAGGCTGGGGATACCTTGTTTGAGTTTCGCATCCTTGTCAATTTTATATACCGTGACTCGGAGAGCTTCCCATGGTTTCTTCTTGGCTTGTCCTGCGTGCTTATCTTCCATTGTTCTTCCCGTTTGCTGGTAAATGTGTGGCTCTTCGCTTACCATGTCCCTGTCTACCTCATCATTCACAAAGTCGAACAATTTGCACAAAACCCAAGAATTGGTGGTCCTGGAATGGCCATTTGTGGCGTTCACCACCAAGATGGGCTTCTGATGGTTTGGCATGAGCTGTCTACCTGTTCTCCTGAATGTCAACTTTTCGATCTGTATCACCAACTTGGGATGATGGTATATGGGTATATGGGGAGCTAGACCTTCAATCGCAGAAAGGAGCATGCTACACGAATAAGTGACCCATCCGAACGAAAACGGTACAGGTGTCACGGTCCGTCCAGAGAGCTGCGCAATGGCTGTTTGAACAACTTCTGGGCCGAGCAGCAAGAGAACGGTGAGGACTTCGCGTGGACTTCGCCATTGAGTTAACAGGTAATCCGCGATGCTTTGAAGATTTGCGACTTGATCCCTCGGTGTTAACAGTCGTGGAGCCATTGCTAGTAAAGTAGAGACAGGGGGACAGTGGAGCGCCGGAGTCAACGAAGGCCCGCGGCGGACCCGAGATAGTTGGAGATGAGCTGCCCCGTGATTTTACCTCGTCTTGGCACACATGCAAGTCCCACTATTCGTATTTCCCGCTGCCCCGCGGCTTGTTCGCCGCAAATATTGGTTAAGTTGAAAGGATCTGTGACTGAGAAGCTTAACTCGTTTAGGCGATATAGGAAGCAGCTCTGACACTCGATTAGCGAAGTTTCGAGTTCTGTGGATTTTTGTTGTTATATTTATTATTCTACTTTGATTAACTCCTATACATAAATGCGTTCTATTGTAACAAGGCCAAGTGGCTGTGCTGGGATGGTATTTGAGGTGGGGGGGTTGGCAGGAAGGAGAGAGAGTTGTCTAGTCACGTGTCAAACCAAAAATGGGCTAATGCTGAACGGTTCACAGTGCTGGCAGAGTGCCATCCTTTACAGTTTGACAGAGTATTCCATGTTTTTGATGTCGTCTACCTATTCTTGAGGCTTTCATCGGCGTTTTCTTACTTCTCAATGCCGTCGCCGTGCTAGGCGCTCGCTGCCCTAGCCGCTACCTCTCTGGGGGTGGTGTTGGTGGTGGTGTTGCCCTGTCAGTGTCAACCAGAGACGCGTTGTCGATTCCCGATCTGCTGGACAGGCCTCTGTGCGTTGTTGCACGTACACGTCGAACCCTGAAGTGCTCCGTTACAATAAGATCATTATTATTCGTAGTGATGCAGGCTGAAAAAAGCACTGTAAGTTTGGATGGGGCGCTAAAACTGCCTTACTAATTACCCCGCATATTCTTCGAACAACCATTTGAATTGTTAAGAAGCAGTAGGTGAGCCGAAGGTGAGTAAAGCGGCGAGCGACTAATTAAAAAGGGAGGAATAGCTGTTCTATGTAGTACGAGGATGATCCTGACTATTCTCGTTCAGAGGTGGCACAATGGGACTACGAACAGATAGTGTGAAGTTTTCTACGTGTCCAAATAGTGGTAAATGTATGAGGTACCCGTACAGTACCTAAACTCAACAGGCTGCCCATTGACCGCAAGGTGACATACGAGCAGCCTGGTCCCTGTGTAGCATGGAGTTTCCGGGGCAATCGGGGAAGACGACCAAGGCGGCGAAACAGCATGGTGGACCATACGAGGTGCCATTTCCGATTTCTTTGGAAGGAGTGGGCTTCGAAGCGCTTCGATTGTGACCTTTTGACTACACGTTCTTGTTCGAGGGCTCTGAGACTCTTGTTCTGCGATTCTACCCGCGGCTTTCCCCAACGAGGGTGTTGGTCAATGCAGTCCGTTGTTGATGGCCGTGATGCCGCCCTCTCATCCTCGAGATCCTAGACCAGAACCTCCCAGGAGCAAGAGGCAACGCACTGCCCTGGCTTGCGACTCGTGCCGCGTGCGAAAGACCAAATGCGATGGCGCAAGACCCTCCTGTGGGATCTGTGTTGACCTCGAATTTGTCTGTAATTATACACAACCAGTTCGCAGACAACAGAGTATCCCTAGCGAGGCAGAGTAAGGCAGCCGCCTACTCCTCCTGCGTTGCCCAGATTGAGATTGACCGTCTTTGGTGCGACTAGTTCCCCGATTGAATCGCGGCTTCGTGCGATCGAACAGTCTTTGCGACTGCTGGCGGCCAATATTGGGATCTTGCCGGCAACCAAGACCAGGGACCGCACCACTGCTTCGTTCCTTGGTCTAACATCGCCATCGTCCAGCACCGACACTCCCTTTGACTCTTCATCGCACTTGTCTGGGCAGCAAGCGAGAGTGCCACATGGCGCCGATCAAATTCTGGTCAACCCTCAACCTGATACTTCGCAAAATGACACGGTCGATGGCATGGTCGTGATCACGTTCGCAGACGATGCCACCGCCGCTTGTTTTGGTCGAGATCCCCCTTGTCCGGCGTCTAGACCTAAACTCACCGATCTCATGTAGGCCCATCTTCGAATTCGGCGTTTTTCTCGACCATCAATGATGCCGTGGATCAGATGCGCAATGTCCCTGCCCGGCATCATGGCGACACTGTATGCGAGCAACAAGACTCGACACATTTCTCTCGGCCGGTTTCACCAAACCCCTCGCCTCGAAGGAACCCGCCCTTGAGCTTGGCTGTCGATGATGTTAACTGCTTTATACTGCCCAAAAAGGAAACGATAATTGAGTTGCTAGATCGTTTCTTCACCGGCTTTGGCATGCTCTTCCCTTACATCTACAAGAAGACTTTCCTCGACGGCATTGCCGACATGGAAAGTACATCATTCCGCGGCGTGCGAAGGCCCTGGCTCTGTCTGCTAAACACAATTATGGCTTTCGCGACCAGCGGAGCTGTATACCCACACCGCGGTCAGAATCAAACGGATGCAGAAATCTATTTGCAGCGAGCCCTGAAAGTTTTACAAGATATATCCCTTCAGAGCGCCAACCTTGAAGCAGGTCAGCCTTGAGCCGAGTTCATCTGTAGAGATTTCAGCTGATTGTGGTGGTCAGTTCAAGCTTTGCTCTTGATTCTCCAGTACCTGCAAGGGACACAGCAGTCGGCTCGAACCTGGACCCTACAAGGGCTCACCGTCCATGCTGCATTTCAAATTGGCCTGCACTCACCCGCCGAGAATGCAAAGTACGGCCCTTTGGAACGAGAAATTCGAAAGCGGTGTTGGCACATGTGCTGCATCATGGATAGGTGCGCACTTTGCTCCCTATGTAACCGACCGATTGAACTTCAATAGCTAATACGCGCCCTAGAACATGCAGCATGACTTTTGGAAGACCCCAGAGTATCAGGCAGGATTACCAACTCGTCGAACTTCCTCAGGATGTTGACTTTGAGACGCTCGGTTCCGAGAGCCGACAAGAACAGGTACCAAGTCGCGTGAATGGGGTATCTGTTGTGGCTGCGTTTGTTCAATCCATGTGAGGGTGCCGGATTTTCTCTTACTGTCGATTCACTGACCTTTTCCGCAGAAAGCTGTACGCACTTGTGGGATTAATCTTGCAGACCGTGTATCAAAACAACATTCAAACTAAGGAGATTCTTCCGACTTCAAAAGTGTTTCAGAACATCATGGCAATCGAACCGCAACTGGCAGCATGGAAGACCGAATTACCTTCCCACATTCGGCTCCAAACTCGGGATACCATTGTTGAGGCCACGAACCCTGCAGTGTCGGACACGCCCACGGACATTACAATGAGTCTCGTATTAACGCTGCGATTTCTCCACACGCGCATGCTGCTTCACCGCAGGATGCTGGTCTGCTTTCTTCAAAATAGGAGATCAACTACGGATACCGATGGTGAACGGCACTTCTTGATGAATTTTGGCAAAGCCAGTGTTGAAATGTGCTTGTCCGCAGCTCTGGACATCCTCGATATCCTCAAAAATAACTCTCCATCGTCGACGAGGCCACCAATACTGACGACCTGGTGGTTCCAAATCTATTACGGCAAGTTGTGCTTTGTTTTTCCCTGCTGCCGAACCAGGGCTGATGATTTGTGACTCCAGCTTTCTCCTCTGCCCTGGTCATCTTCGCCGTCATGATCCTCAGCATGAAGCACAACATCAGACTTCTCCATCTCGAGCCCCAAGATTTCCTCAAACACATCCAAGATGCATCTCAGACAATCACGAAAGCGGGCAGTGACTCGCGAATTGGCAATCGATGTAGGAAATGTCTTGAGCGTCTCTTGCAATTTGCGTCCACATTCCGTAAGTCACACATGGGACTCCAGCCTTGGCCACCCCTCTACTGATGACTTGTCTGAAACACTAGAGAGCGCTGGTGGCATGCAATCTGTCAGTGATGCATGTGCGTTGCCAGCCGCCAGTAACCTCGCTGATCTCGACTTTCTCGGAAGTCTGCCATTCGCTTGGGACGATCAGTTTATCACTCAAGGAGACAATATCGAATTCTTTTAACCTCGGACACTGGGATTTCACTGACTGTATTTCGGTCAACGCGTCACTCACAATCCAGATTTGATATCTTGCATCTAATACAATGCGTAAAATTTGTTTTAGAGGAAGCGGTAGTGCGAGGCATTCCTGTTCCTGTATTTTCTAAGCAGTTCTAGTTGATGTCAAGTGGCAGGTTAAAGATCCTGATGGCGTTCCGATACCCAATATCCTTCCACGTCTCGTCCGATATTGGAACACATTCAAACCATGACCTCATCTCGGCGATACTCTCGTAGGGATAATCCACGGAGAAGGTGACATTTTCGACTTTTGTTTCCGACAACAGATTGAGCAGCGCCGACGTCCTCGGCATCCCACTGGTGTTGCAAATAATGTTGTTCTGGAAATAATAAAGAAAGGACTTTTTCTTCGGCCCCTGGGCAGCTACCCGTGTTTTAGATTAGCGATCACTTCGATGACAAGCCAGGTAGCGGTCAACCCACCTTTTGTGTACATTCTAAATGTTGTGTCGGTCCTCGGCAAGATCCAAGAGAGTCCTTCGCCCGAGTGTCCAAGGCATATCTTCAACTTGGGAAAGCGGTCGAACACTCCAGCGTACATAATCCTTAGAAGATGTTCCACAGTTTCTCTCCCAAATCCATACGGGGCACCATGGAGTATGGGAATGTCTTTCAGTACGTTGAGATTCGACTGGAGAGGTACGCGAGGATGAATAAAGATTGGTTTTCCCAAGCGTTCGGATACTTCCCATAACGTGTCGTACTGCGGATCGTCAAGGTAGAGCCCCTTGGTAGGATCTTCGGTCACGGTATACCCGTTAATCATAGCACCCACGAATCCGTACTCCTTGACACAGCGCTCTAATTCGGCCGCTGCCGCTGTCCCGTCTTGCGTAGGCAGGGTCGCGAAGGCGAAAAACCGCTTTGGATACTTTGCACAGTAATTTTGAAACACGAACTCGTTCGCTTTGCGACAAAACTCCACACAGTCGTCCACCTTGACGAAGGCCTGAGCCGTCGGCTGATTCAGCGAGATGATCTGAGCGGCAATGTTATTTGCATCCATAATTTTCACCCTGAGTTCGATATCTTGCAGTCGCTGCTTCAACCCACCCAAAAAGTCAGGGTTGAAGGTTTCGAATGTTACCGACGTGGAAGGCACAGGAAATGGTGTAATGGCATGTTCCTCAAACGTGATCAGCCCAGTCCGTTTGCGCTCTTCATGGGTAGGTTTGAAGCTGGACAGGGGTCGTCCCTCAATGGTCAACGTCGACGCATCGGTGGCCATCTTTGTAGGCTCAATAGACCCTAGTAGAGAGTTATGCCTTGCCTGGTCCTTCGATACCCGCCGGAGCCGAATCCAACGAACTCGGTGACCGGCGGATTATATGGACACATGTTCGCGCTGAGCAGCCTCCCTGCCGTATACAGAGAAGCAAGACCCGGTCAATGCTGGGTATCTCCATCTGGCTATGGTTCCTGGAGAGGCCCAGTCGGCGTCGAGTGTCCCAAGCGCTACTGGACAGAAAAGTGTCCAGAGCCGGCTATCTCGGAAGTTACCATCCGGTCCTACCAAGTTGATGTCTGGAAGCATTCCGGTTGGATGATCTACTTGGTGCGGTGCACACACGGAATCCGAAGACCCAAGCACATGTCCTGCCTGCAGGATGGCCTTCGACATTCCCGGTCGAGGAGGGTCCTCCATGTCGACGAGCACTGCGGAGGAGCCAATGTTCCCCCGGCTCCCACGCGCGTTGTCCGGGGAAGTACCACGCCGTCGCTCTCCTCCCTGAAGCAGCTGCTGCAGCCTTCGACAACCCGCAGATTGAGTCCCGAGATAATCGAGACAGGAAGAGTCTCCGGGATCCCTTACCCCGTGGGGTCCCGGGGAGTTGTATTCTCCAGGGCCAGGGCATAAATAAACCTGGCTCTAGAAAGACTGCCCACTCTTCCTTCCTCGATCGCATGTCTGAAGAGCCTGCTGCTCTGCACGGATCTCCCTTCACCTGACTACATGGACACTTCGGAAAAGCAACAGATGTCTGGCGAGTTGGTTCACTCCGCCACCGTCGAGGATGTGACTAAACATGACGCGCACGAGGCGGCCGAGCGTGGACATGTGGCGACAGACGAGTAAGATGACGATAGATGACGGTCTCTGCATGCAGACAGCTGACCATAATCCATAGCTGGGGAAATCCACTTGTCGAGTTCGACGCGGCGGCAGAGAAGCGTCTCCGCCGCAAGATCGACATGTTTGTCATGCCCACTGTGTGCCTACTATATCTATTTTGCTTCATTGATCGCGCCAACATCGGTATGTCTACTATCCACACGTGCGAGCAAAAAAATCCGCTAGCCCATGAACTCATCACTCGTTCTGTAGGAAATGCCAAAATTGTGGGATTTGAAAAGGATCTCGGTCTGCACGGCTACGATTACAATCGTGTCTTGACCCTTTTCTATATCTCATACATTGTCTTCGAGATTCCCTGCAACCTCGTGTGCAAGTGGATCGGCCCGGGCTGGTTCCTTCCTGCATCGACGACGGGATTTGGTGTCTTGACCCTGGCCATGGCCTTTATCAATGACATCTCCGCGGCGTACGCCGTTCGATTCCTCCTGGGGATCTTCGAAGCTGGAATGTTGCCGGGCATCGCCTACTACCTGTCTCGATGGTATCGTCGCGATGAGCTGACCTTCCGCTTGTCGCTCTACATGGTCATGACCCCGCTGGCCGGCGCCTTCGGAGGCTTACTGGCCTCGGCGATTTTGACACTGGATCACTTTGGAAGTCTCCATCGCTGGCGGATGATTTTCGGAATTGAAGGCATTATTACCATATGCCTAGGCTTGATTGCCTTCCTCACAGTCACGGATCACCCCGCCACCGCCCGTTGGTTGACTCAAGACGAAAGGGACTTGGCCATTGCTCGCATCAAGTCCGAACGCATGGCCAGCACAGAAGTCCTCGACCGTTTTGACCGCGCCAAAATATACAAGGGCATCTATTCACCAGTCACTCTTACCGTCGGCATGGTGTTTTTGCTCGCTGGCGTCAGCAGTCAAGGACTGGCTGTCTTCCTCCCAACCATTGTGAAGACTATCTATCCCAAGACCAGCGTCGTGAGCCAGCAACTCCATACGGTGCCGCCGTACGTTGTAGGTGCCTTTACCGCCGTGTTCATCCCATACCTCAGCTATAAGCTCAACACTCGGCAAATTTTCTTTATCATCAGCGCTCCTCCCATGATGATCGGCTACGCCATGTTCGTGGGCACTCAAGTCACTGATCCCTATGCTCGCTATGGTGCCACATTCCTGATCACAGCAGGCATTTTTGTTTATGGCACCATGGTCAATGCGCAAGTGTCTGCCAACGTCATCTCCGATACTGCTCGCGCGGCGGCCATCGGTGCCAACACCATGCTCGGCAATATCGGCGGCCTGATCTCCATGTGGTCATATTTACCCCTTGATGCGCCGGACTTCCGTATCGGAAATGGCCTCAATTTGGCAACAACCAGCTTGATATTTCTGCTCTCGGTCAGCCTCTTGCTGTGGATGCGTGCTGACAACAAGAAACGAGAGAAGCGGGATGCACAAAGCCTCTTGGCCGGCCTGAGTCTGCTTGAAATTCAAGACCTCGAATGGAAGCATCCTTATTTCAAGTGGAGACCCTAGGCTTCATGAAGTATCGTTGGTTGCGGGATACGTTCGAATATGTGTAAAACCCTCAGGGGGGCGGAAAGCATTGACAGAAGATACATTTGAATATGGATGTGAGACGGCATGCTCTGCCCGTAGCAGCCGTCTTCGGCCAAGAAACCAATAGTCAGGTTTCCCCCATTCTTGTTCTTCATTCATAAGTTTAAGCTTCTTCATCACTTCTTCGCCTACTTACCATGACCGTTGACTATAGCGTGGACTCCCGGTCTAGGTCATCACTCACCCCGCAGACATTCGGACTGTGGCCAGCGGTTTCCTCTTCTCTGTCCATGTCGTGTGTACCTCGCAATTGCGAAACTTTGTTTCATTTGGACTCATTTCATTTGAATGGCGTCGTTCAGGTTCTCATCCGCCTTACGGTCAAGGTTATCTCTGGCACACAATTTTCTTTTTCTTTTTCTTTTTTTTTTTAAAAAAAAACATTTAAAAAAATTTAAAAAAATAATTACGACGGACATCCTGCAGGCAACTGGTACGTTCACGCCGGTACGAGAGGATCACAGGAAGAAAGGCCTGATCTGGTTCATGGATGAAACCGGCCGTGCTGGTATTCCAGATGCCCAAGCCTCACCAGATATATTCAGCATTAGTTCAGCTTTACCTACAGGGGTAAATGCCAACAGTCGGCTCGCGGGAATGTTGGCAAGTTCTAACAACAGATACTTCAATCCTTTTGATCCTGGAGATCGATAAGCTTTCCCATGACCTTACCGAACTTTATTCTGTCCAATGCTGTGTTGATGTTGGGAAGCTCAATAATTTCTACCTCTGGCACTACCTTGCCTCGGGCACAAAGCTCCAGGGCGAATCGCACATCTGCTTTGGTCCGCGTCTCGTTAGAGCGAACTATCAGAGACCTACGCAACGCAGTAGGTACAGAGGATTGGAGTAGCTGAATGCCTTGTTCTATATCACGTAGTCCTATTGACAACGACTCAACGCTTAAGAAAAAGGACGAGTTCTCTCTCACCCGATTCGGGTGAGAGGAAACCCTTATAGCTTCCCCTCTTTCTGTCACGTGAAAAGGGTAAGGCGACGTTAACCGATAGCCTTGTCAACTAATAGCCTTGTGCTTTAGCTCTCCTTAGCTTGTGCTCCAACCATCCTTTGCCTTATCCTTTTCTTCCTATACCGTCCACCCGATTCGGGTGGAGGGCGTAGGGTACTTGGGGACAACGGTGGGCTCGCGACACAAACCACTAAGTTCTTTTTCTATATTGGCCTTAACGACATGCTGTTTTTGCGACCGATTCAGCGCCCAAATCCTCCATCGAGTCGCCAAGGAACCCCGGGAGAACTTACTGCGCATTTCCAATTCCAACCGCCATAATTTGTGCTCTGAAGCTTGCGTATTGTCCGGCTACACTGAAAAAAAAAAAAAAAGAAAAAAACAAAGATCTCTGTCAGCTATGGTCGCGGTCCACTTGCACCCGGAAGCAGCACTTACTCATAAGATGACTGATGAGGACTCAGAACCAGAATATAGTCTGCACCACCGTCTGTCTGAGCGACCACGGTCTCCACCAAGTCTTCTCGACCGAAGTCGACAAAATCATCAGCGCCCATCTTTTTGCAGAATGTTTCTTTTTCAGCCCCGTTTCCGCCAATCGCCAGCACCTTCAAATCCATGGCCTCGGCATACTTGATGCCTAGGTGACCCAGACCACTGGCAGCACCGACTATAACGCACCACTTCGACGGCTGTGGTTTCATCAGCCGCAGCGAGGTATGGACGGTGACGCCAGCGCAGAGGATGGGACAGACACTAGGCAATGCGATTTTGGCAGGAATTGGGATCAGCGGGGAAGTTGGAAAGGAGACATATACTGGACAATTTGTCAGATGGCCTCTTCATTGCGGGAAGGGAACTTGGGTTCCCACCCCTGCCAAAACGGACGTCCTCTGAAATGTTCCATCTCGACGTGACCCAGTGACTTGCTGATTGAAACAGTGGTTTTCTTCACCGTGCATACACGCGTCACAGGCGCCACAAACATGACTTCTCCAGGCAATTTCAACCACGTCCCCAATCGTGAATCCATCCATGCCTGCTGTGCCCATAGCGACAATGGTTCCAACACCCTCATGGCCTCCGATCAATGGCCGAATCGGGACCTTTGGCGCCGGGCCATCACCATCTCCTACATATACATCTCCGTGGCACGCACCAGTGTATGCCAGCTGGACAAGAGCCTCTTTTGGTCCCGGCAGCGGAATCCGAGTCTTTGTCACTGTGTATGGATCACCGTAGCCACAGGTCAAGACCGCCGCAGGAGCTGTATCTGGCAGCGAGGCCAAACCTTGCCTCAAATCACAACTGCCACTGAACTCCCTCGTTATAATATCTAGAATAATGGCTAGCGCATAAAATGAACGAGCTCACAGCCGAGGTCTTTCTTCGCTCTCAGATGATCACGACGTTCACAAACTTCACAAGTCTGGCAGCTTCAACATTGCTGATCCTCCATCTCGCGATCCGCTCGCCGGGTATATAGTGGCACTCTACCTCCTGTATGATTTCCGATAAGACCTCTGATGTCTCCTCATCGTCGAGCTGTAGGGTGGAGCTACTTGGGGTGAAATCGAGGCCGGAAGATTGAACCCGAAATAGCCGGTGGGGCGAGGCTGCTGCAGAGTTCCGGTGAAGTCCTCTGTCTGCAATTATGGCATCCGCGGCTTCTCGGCCTTTTGTAAGACGCGACGGTTGCGTTGCGCAGAAGATCGTTGCTTGGGTATTTCAGCGATTTCTCCTCGTCCATGAGCATAAGATGCTGTCCCAAGGACTACTGTGCAAACAAACCGAAAAGGTGAGGGTCATTCAGTCTCAAAGATGCTGTCGACAGCGAAATTACAGCCGCATCTTAGCGATCACCCTTACGTTATCGGTATCATCGGGCTTAGCATAGGTTTGCTCGTCCTCCAGATTGTTCAATACTTGAGGAACCCTCTGAGACACATTCCTGGCCCGTGGCTGGCGAGAATCGCTCATCTGCCTCTGTTTGTTCAGTCTTTCACCGGCACGCGAGTTGGTTGGATCATCAAACAGCATAAGCGCTATGGACCTGTCATTCGCATCGCCCCCAACAAAGTCTGTGTGGCCTCGAGCGAAGGAGTTAGAGCCATCTACAGCAACAAGGCCATCAAATCGTCTGCGTACGAGGGGTTCAAGTATCACGACGTGAAAATGTGTATCGGTCTACGCGACGTTAAGTCAGCTCACACCCGTCGGAAGGGCCTGTTGCCAGCATTTTCACACCAGAATTTGATGGAGATGGAGCCCATAATTAGGTTACACTTGGAGAAGTTCCTCAAATGGCTGGAGAAATTTGATCACACGGGAGAGTACGTTGATTGCTTCAAGTGGTTTCGGTACTTGACATTCGACGTCGTGGCCGATATTGCTTTTGGCCAGCAGATTGGTATGCTAGATCAAGAAGACGACAACTTCATCCGCAACGTCGAGTACAGAAACAAACGGAATGGTCTAGTGAGTATATTTGGGACCGTCCAGACTGGGACTTTTTTGGCTGATGTTGCGGAACCAGGCGGGACCTTTCCCGTTCATAATTCCACTCCTGAAGATCTTGAGCCCGCAGACCGCAAGAAACTGGATCAATGCTGATGATGAAATCGCCAAGGTGGGTAGCATAGTGGAAAATGGTATCGCCTCTTCGCTGACAAAAGCTGGATAGTATGCCATTCAGGCACGTGATGGCTGGTCTCGAGCAGAAAGGGACCATCGACCCAGAGTCGATATTCTCGCCCGCTTAGAAGAGGCTGCAGTGAAGAATCCGAAGGAGGCGCTGTTATCGGACGAAATCATTGCGGAGATGATGGAAATCCTGTAGGTTGTACTCTCGAGCATCCGACGCCTCGAACTTGGACAAGTTAACACTGGCTGTCTTTCTTCAGCAATGCAGGTTCGGACACTACGGCCAATACCGCCATGTTCGCATCTTACGAACTCGCAACCCGGCCAGATGTCCAGCAAAAGCTCTACGAGGAGCTTTTGGAGGCTTTCCCCGATGCCTCAGAGCCATTGACGTTTGCAAAACTATCTCAACTGCCGTTCCTCGACGGCGTCTGCCGGGAAGCGCTGCGAATCCACGCTCCCATTCCATCATACTTGGAGCGACTCTCTCCCGAGGACGGCTTAACCATCGAAGGCACCTTCATACCAGAGGGCACCATCGTTGGTATGCAGGCTTACACAAACCACCGGAATCCCAACGTCTACCACAACCCTCTCAGATTCTGGCCCGAGCGGTGGTTCAATCCTTCGGCCGAGATGAAACTGAATTTCCTCCCGTTTTCCGCTGGACCCCGCTCTTGTATTGGTTTGAAGTAAGTGTTTGTCCTTGGTGCAATCACACGGTTGGAGACGTTGATACAATTCACAGCCTTGGAAACATGCAGCTTCGAATTCACCTAGGCCATATTTTCCGCATGTACGAGGTCGTCTGTGCGCCCCAGACCACGCCCGAAGCCATGTCCCACGTTGAATTCTTCACTATTCGGCCCAAAAATGGCAAGTGTGATTTGTATTTCCGCAAAAGAAAATGAGTGGTCTTGGCAGATATCCAATTGCCCGGGTTGATTCTATTAGAGCAGATCGAGTGTCTGGCTTGGAGGGACTTGGGTTCAATCATAAAATCCGTTGAGGAGCCTACGAAATGGAGAAGAGAACAGTAGGGCCGAGATAGAGACTAAGGGGCAATATAGACAGGAAGGTCAACACAGCAATCTCCCCACAAGGGTCTCTTGCTCAAACACCCAAGACAAGCTCCAGTTATATTGGTTCCATCAACAGATAATCAACCCTGTCAATCAAGAAACATCTAGTAGCAGACTGCGTTCTAACGTTTCCTCCCTTCCGCGGGAGAGTTCTCTAAACTGTTAGGGTACAGCCACCCGGGCGGGGGGGCGAGCATCTCATCTGTCTTTATGCGTTCTTCAACGACGTTACATTGTCCTCGGCGTCCTCATCTGTTCCTTCTTTGCTGTCTTCTTCTATATCCTCGCGTTCCCTTTTGCCCCCGTAGAGATAACGATAGAATGAATTGCATCCCTGCTTAAAAAATATTCGCGGACCTGTAGAAGCCGAACTCCGCATGCTGGTGGTTACGTCGGTGCCAGAAGGAGAAAACGACCACAGCCATGGTGAAGGGCTCTGGGAGCAACGGGTCCGATATGTAGAACGAAAAAGAATAGGTCTTTCTTCACGTTTCACAGGGTGATGACGGCGAGGGATATCTACAATGAGAATATGCACTCGAGATGGAGACGTATACAACGGCGAGGTTGATTTAACTTGTCTGAATACGGAAAGGCGTGTGGGCAGAGTGTGCCAATTTGCGCAGCAGCCAACTGGTCGACTGTATGTCCATCAAACTCGCCCCGGTGGAACCCGGAATTACTTGACACTAAGAATCCTCGATGTCCTCGCCTGACCCCTCCTTTCGATGTAGGCTGCTCTTAGGCGTCAGGCTCCAGCCTCTTGAATTCCCGAATCATCCAGTCAAAGACGTTGTCATAATCGAACACTTGCCGGTGGAAAAGATCGTTGAATATCTTCTGGAGGCATCGATAGTCCAATCTTTTGTCGCGCCAGTTGCACATAATTCATGTAATCGGAGAACACGGTTAGTCGACCAACGTAAAGTTGATTCACACCAGTCGCCTACTTCATCTCCAAAACAAACTGATATTTAGGACCCCGCTTCGCCTTGAGGCTTTGCCAAGGCAGTCTTCCACGCTTAAAACACACCAGCATGTAGCCAAATGTCTCCAAGTCATCGCACCGGAATTGTGCTGCGAGGACAAGCCAGCCGACCTTCTTGCGTGCTTAGACAGTTGAAGCGTTACCCCAAACGCCCGTTGATCCTTGCATATCTACACGTATCCAATAGTTTAGGAGGAGGTGCTGTCATGTGAGGAGTAGGGGCACTACTCGATCTCCACCAGTCGGGATGAGTCAATGAGAATCCGTTTTCACAATATCAGACTAAATCTTCTAAGCTCGGTCCAAGCAACTCGAACACCAAAATCGCGAGGTCATCTTGTTGGCCATGCCAATACACGCGAGGAAAGCCGATTTTTCCGGCCAGAAATTGGTAGATTTCCCACTTCTACAAGCAAAGAACTCTTCGCTCAAATCATTACCTTCATGACCGCAAGATTGTTTCAAGTTAGCTTTGAGAAGTGCTTTGAGGAGGGAAATGGGGGTCACCAACGAAACGACATATTATCGCTGCAATGATAAACAAGGGCGCAGCCATATCGATTATTGCTTCACGGGTTTTGCGACCCGGTTAGTCCATATCTAGCTGTGCGCCTACTCGGAGCTTAGCCGACTTAGCATTATAGGTTGTAGTGATGCATGAGAGTTCATGCTTCGGAAAGGCGGAGATATCATGTTGAATCGTTTTGCGGGTGACTTCGTCAACATGGACTTCGGCGAAACCCTCCTCTCAGATCCATGGCGGGTTGTCTCACCCTTTCTCGGGCAGAAACCTGGCCATACGGACGATTGCAGGGTAGGAGATGGGTGCAGACTAAACTTCTCGCGGAACCACCTGGGCCATGGCGATTGCGCCATGGTCAAGCCTAAGCTTAAGTCGAGCCCGAGTCTGATTTGGCCTGCCATTGATGGGGAAAGGCCGTGGCCATGGGGCAATGGTTTGGGTGGGTTACTGTATAGCCATAACTATCCAGGCAATTTGGGATAACGAGAGCAAGGAGAGGTTCCCACGCTGCGGAGTTTCTGGGCAAATCTAGAGTGGACATGGAAGAAGCATGGTGTTTCTCCACTGATTTTCTACATGCACTTATCAGGACGTTCGAACTTAAATTAAACTCTTACTACCCCGAACGCCTATTGATATTACCTACAAAAGTATTCACTTCCCTCGTCATTGACTTTCATCACCTTGGCTGTGGCGTCAAGTATAACGGCTGAGATGGCCCTAACTATCAACAGATTGTAAAGGCAATCGAATCTATTATTGGTGACATTGACTTTGAACGAAGTTTTTTTTTTTATGACCCGCTCGTGCCTGTCTTCAAGCGACATTTGGTTAACGTAAAAATGAGCTTCGTGTCAACTTATCAGCTACCATCACATGGCTCAGCACATACATCGCGTTTGCCGTGCTCTTTATGTTTTGTTGAGTCAGACATCTCCGGAATTTTTGCTGGTGTGTCCGCTGAAACCACAATGAGTGGTGTAGGGGCGCGAAGGCAATAGTATTGCGGCAGGAGTGTGAACGGTGGGGGGTGTTCTGTCTTAGATACGAGAAGAGAGACTTTGAAGACAGAGAAGGATTTCGCAAGTAGCGAATAGGGCTGTTATTCGACATAGGTCACATTTTCTTCGCGGGAATAGTTAAAGAGGATGCGAAATTATGAAGGCTTCCCGAGCGCCCACCTATAAGGCCGACAACCTATCTCAAGCCTTACAGATTATATCTATCCCAATCGAACTGTAATGAAACACCTTGGAAACTTGAGATTTATGCCTCAATTTAGTTACTACAGAAGGAAGTTCTAAACTATGCTATCGTAGTGGAATTGATGATCTCGGAGAGCAAACTTACCTCCTCACCGAGCCTAAGCAGCCTTGATAGAGAATAACAAGCGCTAAAGAGAAATAGCGAGAACAAAGGCGAGCGAAGAGCAATAATTCACCAAAGTACGGGAGTTTATGTGCCGAAGGTTGCTTTATCATGGCTCTGTAAGCTTCTTCCAGAACTGGTCACGCACCCTTAATTATTATTCCGAAATTGCTTACCTTTTTGTTAGTTCTAATCAGGTTCATCCAAATTTTGACAAACCCAGCGCGCCAAAGCTTTAATCTTGAGCGAAGTTTCTCAAAAGTTTGACCACGGCCGCGTGTTCGTAACGCTCTGCATGCATTAGTGCAGTCCGACCGTCATCATCTCTTGTGGTTGCATCTATGCCTGCCGTGGCCAGCAGCTGAGCCACCACCGCCTCTTGCCCCATCTGTGCCGCGTACATCAGCACTGTCGTTCCAAACTCGTTCTTCACGTTCACGTCGATACCTGGCCACGCCGACAACAGCTTGACCACGGCGGTGTGTCCGTTCCCGACCGCGCGTATCAGCGCCGTTCCGAGAAAGCCGTCATCTATCACATTCACGTCGATGCCCTAGCCACGCCAATAGCAGCTCGGCCACGCGGTGTGTCCGTGCCCGGCCGCGTGCATCAGCGCCCGTCTCTCCAGAATCGCTTGTCGCATTCACGTCGATGTGAGACACTGTCAATAGATGCTCTATCACAGCGGCATGCTCGAACGCTACCGCGTACATGAGAGCAGTCGCGCCGTAACTGTCTTTGCAGTTTGGTCGTCTCTCTTCCCGCAGCAACTCTGCTGTTGTATTTGCCAAACTAAATAAAGCAGCTAAATGGATTCTAGTCTCGTAGCTGCTACAGTATGTGCTCCCCTGCGCGGGTATCGTGACAGCTTCCGGTCCGATCTCGCGCTTTTGCTCGATAGCTACATTCGAATACAGAAGACCACGGGATGTCCGGGACTGTGCACCAGATGGGACCGAATCCTCTCTCGTAGCCAGCCACTCGTCTTGGCAGGGAGCCCCGAACCCGATTTTCCACACGGTCGAGTCTCTCCCCCACATGACAGCGTCTCATCATAGCAATTGTAGCCACGACTTTGCCTTCTTTGCACTGATGAGGTCTATGCTACCGCTGGACTCTTTTCTTCGCTTGGCGGGAACCATTGGAAGAGTTCTAGAACTTGGTTCTGCCTGCAGATCTCCTCCTTCCTCCTCGCTGGACGAAGAGTCGGATGAGATAAAAGAGTCGGAGTCGGTCATATCTTCGTCATCGCTCGTAGACACGTCGACTCCCACGTCACGAAGTGCCTTTGCGAGCTTTTGCTCGATGTCTGCGCGTCCTCCATTCCGTATCTCTTCAAGACCTTGGTTGACTTTTTCAATGAACTCGTCATTAATCGGGACTGTCCATCTGAACTCATCCGACTCTGGCCCACGGGTGAGCTGGAAGCTAGGTTGATTATAAATTCGATCAGGGTCCACACCATCCGCAAGGGGCTCGGGAGTTATTTTGCCATCTTTAGCTCTTTCTTGTGCTCGCCTCTTTGAAGACGAGGCGTTGTCGGCATCCTTGGCGGAAAGGCTTTTATACCCAGCCCTGCGGTACGCCTTTGGTAGCTGGAAGCGCGGCTTTCTGCCAAACCATTTACCGTTGGCATACGCTTCCTGGATGTACTGAAATCCGGCGTTTGTGGGATTCATGCCAACCCAATTGGCCACAAGCGGGTTGAGATATTTCAAATCTTTGATCGCCAGAACAGGGAGCATGGTGGCGTCGCCCAGGGGTGACTCGGTTACTCCGAGAATGGGATCGCTCACAGAGAACGCCCCAGTCTTGAGGGTCTTCATGGACTCATGGAGCTTGAGTATATCTTTTGTTGCGGCCTTTGATTCCGTTACTTGACGTTGAAATGAACGAAGCAGCGGGCCGGGAGATTTGTCCGGATTTAAAAGATGGCGAACCTTTGTTTCGGGATGATACATGCGACCAAGGTACGTATTTGTGCTAAAAATGGCACTGATCCGAGTGTCCGGGTCATCAACCAGGTCGTTGTACGATCTGCCTGGACGAAACACAACCTCGATCGGTAAGTTTTCAAGTGCATCGTGGTCGTCCATTTCGTAGCCGTCATCTCGACCGTCATTCTTCATCTGAAGGTCGCGAAGCTGCTCTCCTGCAGTATCGAGGCTGGCTTGTAACTCATCTCTCCAAGTGCCTGTGCCACTGGGCCCTAGAGGCACATCTTCTCGAAGCGAGTCACAGAAATCTTTTCCGTACTGGGTGGTGCCAAGCTGGTCACACATGACATCCCAGTAGCAATCGTTCAGGTACTTCCCGATGCGCCGCGATCGATCGTCTTTTGACCCACCCTGAGGAAACTCGTCGATTATGGTCCTCCAAAATGCCGCCAGAGACGTGCTGTCATCGAGGGATTTAAAATCCTTGGCTCCTAGATGGTCTTTCCATTTATCAGTCAGCTTGCCGTCCACATAGGGTCGTTGAAGGACCCAGGTACTCCACCTCGTCAGAACTTCTCTCGATTCCGCGTGCGACACGACAAACCATTCTCGATGATCCTTGCAGCATCTTAGGCAAGACTGAATTTTTCGACAAGACTGGAGCTCCGTGTGGATGATCAATTCCAGTCTCTTCGCATGCGGTACCAGGGGAGTGTGACTGACCACTTCCGGTCGCGCCAGACATCGAGCAAGTTCGTGTGCTCGATGCTCCGGGTGGAACTTGGAAAAGCCAATCTTCAACAAGGCCATGGTGCTGGGACCCATCTGGGACCGTAGGACATAGACGTAGCCCATTCCATGCCCTTGCTGTTCGCTCGGGCGCAGGGGGGTATTCAATATTCGTCTAATGTCTTCACAGACACTCCTGGTGGTGAGACTGCCAGTTCTGAAAGGTCGGAGACCAAGATCTCGCTGCTCCGAACGATAGTCGCGGGCGTGGTCTGATTCGCATAGCTCCGACAATAGGATGGCCAAACTGCGAATCCAGAATCTGAATTCCTTGGCATCATCGAATTGCCGATTTGCCTGTGGTGTGCAGAGGCGTTTGGCTTGCTCGACCTTCTCGGCACCGCTGATAATGAAACGGACGGTGAAATGATCCGATGGTAGCAATCCACGTATAAGATTCTTGGCGTTGTGCCCTGGGTGAAGGTCACTCAGCTGTTGGCAACTACATAGTATTTTCGAGCGCGTTGACTCTGTCAGTTTGTATCGAAATGACGGGCTGAAAGTCGATCTCTGAAAGAAAACCCGCAAAGTGACTATGGTGAGCCACTTGTCGTTAGTTGCCGGATATTTCTGCGACATGACGTGATGTTGGGGACTGCTGGGGTTTCAACAACTTTGCGAGAGAGGCGAAATGAGGTGGGAAGAAAAGGATTCGCAAAGGTCGGTCGGTGCAGTAGTTTAGTAGTCGTAGCATTTGCTGCGCCACTATAGAGCTAGTCGGAAAGCATTCTTTGCGCCGGCAACAGGAGACCGCCTCGACAGGGGCGATTTGGTCCGGGAATACTTTGTTCGCTTCAAGTTCGATCACGCAAGCCCAGACCCAGGAACTCTGTCCATAGCAGATGGCATTGAGAGATCCCACGGAAGTGCTTAAATACCGAGGTCAGTGTCCACTACTCTATCAAGCAGGCAGCAGAATGGTCGAAAGTAGGCCTAGCGCGAAATGCACCAATAGGCAACCACGGGGAGGACGGCACCTGGGTTCCAAAGGCCCGCTAGTGGTGACCAAGTACTTAACGGGCCCCATCCGCTGCCTGTTTGGGGCTATGCTCATGGCTAGGCGCGACGTGCTCAGGGTTGAGCAGGTGCTCTGTCTGGGGTCGGACCTGGACGCCGGATTGGACTTTCACGAGCGTGGTTTTGACCATAGTGTGTAGGGCTAATCTACTCCCGACGTTCGAAATCCATATCGAGAGGGTTTTTGGTCGAGACGGGGGGTAGAGCCATCAGTTGTCATTATTGCTTGCCCATTCGAGCGACCCATAATTGGCTGTTCTTCCGGTCGCCGAGCCTCGATCGCCATCTTCCCGCTAGCGAGTTTCAGCCAGAGAGCCTGCCTGAGCCGCGGCGGTGCAGCCTGATTGAAGGCGCAGGGCAGAGCGCATTAATCTCTCGCGGTTCGCCGAGGAGCAGCCAGGGAGTGACTTGGGATCACAGTCAGGTCGTGATTATAGGGGATCCCATCCAAGGAGCCCAAACAAGCTCACGTGAACGAATAAGATCTATCGCATACGCAATATCAACCCCTTCAGAAAATAGAGGCTCAACCCTCAAGTTTCTGAGGTTTCTGATGCGGGGTGGTTCGGGATAGATGCAAACCATGTCTAACCAGACACGGGGCTCTTCGTGGTGACAGTACAGGATGCCAGCATCGCAAATACATGTTTTCGAAGCTAGAAGTCATAGCCATTGATCCGCACGTTGCAAACTTCGTTAGCATCATCTCCCCAACAGTAGGAAACTGCGACGTATCGCGGGTTATTTTTCAAGGATACATTCCTGAGAGTGAACTCGAACTGTGAATGGATAGTGAGCACACGGATCTCATCGTCTTGCAAGAGTCTGCGGTACAACGGATGAGAAGGCTTGCTGGTACACTGACATGAGGCCATAGCATTTGTTATGAAATGACAACACACTATGGTGGTAGAGCCAATGCGAGCCCTTTTGGCGCCTTGGCACTTGAGTGCCTACTTCTTAGCTGTCATCACTGTCGATAGATAGTTACCCAATACGATACCCTCCACGTTACCACTGCTATCCATGTCATACCAGCGCCTCTTCCTCCTCCCTGTTGTTACACTGATGCTGAGTCGGTTCCCAGCTTCCCCGCTCAACCCCGCTCTCCTCCGGTTAAATGTTGGTAAGCCCAAAAAATCACATGCCGTAATTCCGCTAGCGTAGCAATTTCCAGTCGCCCGAAGGAATAGCAAGGCTGGGAGCATATGTTTATTATGAACTCGCGCGAGCAACTCTTTTCTTGATATTCACCTTCACTCCTGCCTTTGGATTTCTCACCCTTTTGGACACAACTTCTCGTCTTTTGACACTCTCAGCGCTATCCAAGTAGTGCGAATAGGTTTCCCTAATTCTAGCACAAGGAAATCCAGCCAGGCGTCTTTCTCACAGATATTACCTGAGGGACTAGCTGCTCCATTACGAAACACAATATCTGGACAGAGAGTTGACGTGAATTCGAGCAGCAATGTCTTTTTCACGAAGCTGGTGCGTTTCTCCGCGTTTGTGACGGAGGTCGCGGATGCGCAACCTAAGAGTTTGATCTCCCTACTCAAGTTCTCGATCTCAAAACAGTCTATGGAAAGGAAGAGTCTCTCTTGGTAAGGCCGAAAGCATGAAAGGTCGATAAATCTGTCTCAGCCATCGCCAGCATACTTCATCTAATCTCCTACGGACTATAAAAGGTGACTTTCAGTGTCAGAAGAATGATATTTTACTCTCAGAATTACCAAGGACGTTCCGAGATGCAGTAGACATTTCTTCTCGACTCCAGATCGAGGATCTATGGATAGATTCTCACAATCATGGTTAACTGCTGCCGCTGCTGCTTCAACGAATTCCAAGTCAGGCTGTTCTCCATTTCAAAAATCATCAGCATACAAGTAGCTGGATCGGCTCGTTGGGCTTTACTTCGTGGTATAACAGAATGTGAGACCATAGGTCACGTTCCTTTGCGACACTTTGCACGGCCTCTATCGCTGTCGTGGTCTCGAACGCACGCAGAGAATTCTCAGCCTGGTGGCTCTTGTGGCGACCTTTCCTCACGCTCCGCTACCCAGCGGTGAGGTTCTCCATCGCCACATATGGTGTCAGTCTCGGATAGTGCTCGTTCCAGATCACCGCCCAAGGCACCCTCCTCCCGGCCATGTACACCTTCTCTCCCCTCGCTGTGGGAAACACCAGCTGTTCGGCATGACCTCTTCATCTCACTGGTTGCATTTGGGTTGACGCCTGTTTGTGTGTATCTAGTACCTCATCGCCTCGCTCATTGGCTGTCTCGCCGAAGGTCCCTTCACCGACTGGACCGTCCAATTCGTCACCAAGTGGCATGGCAGCTACTTCGCCCCTGAATCGCGACTGTGGTGCATGGCCCCTCCAACAATCATTGACCCCGCGGGTCGCATCCTCTGTGGGCTGGGATACAGAACCAGTTACCCTCGATCCTCCCCATCGTCGGCACGGCGACTACTTACGGGCTCTGTGCCGTGCTCGGCATCGGCATGACTTATGTGGCTGATTGCTGCAGGCCGGTATACAAAAAGACCATGACTGTCATCACGGCGGCGAAGAATACGCCTGCCTTCAGAGTGAGGATTGCTGTGTCCCCTTGCGCCTCAAATTGTGGGTGAAGTTTCGGACTGCCATCCTATGCGCTGCATATCTATCTCATCGTTCTTTCAATTCGCATATCGCTTGACAAGGATGCTAGGTGACACGCCCTTAATCCCAGTCCCAGCAAGGCTCCACCTGCGCCCGGTAATCCCGATTGTATTATGTAGCAACGAGAGACCAGGAACTGCATTGGATACTGTATATTTTGTCAAATGATACGCATACCATCCAGCAACGCTCTGCCATGCCATCAGTCTCGGCTATCTCTGCGCTAGCCTCGCGTTGGTAGCTGCGGTCCAAGAAACTGAGGAGGCACTCGCGCCCGTGCCATCGTCATCCCAGCCCTCCAGTTCGAAGTGACGCAAGTCCAGCGGACTCGTGTCAAATGCTGAGAGGTCAGGCAGCTCGCCGTTCGGGAAGAGGTCCAGCATCGTCTCTGGGTCGAACAGAGGCTGAAATATATCCAGGGTCTGGCTCTCAAGGGGGACTGCATCGGGTTGATGCTGGTTTGAAAATGCGGATGAGAAAGCCGGGAGCTGCTGCTGCTGCTGCTGCTGTGCTTGATCTTGTTGATACTGTACTAAGGCTTCTGGGGTGAATGGGACTGTCGGGAACGGTTGCGGCCAATTCGTATCGCCCGTAAGATGAAGTTCCTTTTGCTCTGCGGGGTCCGCTTTTGAAGCGTATCATTAGTACGCCCATAAGCAGGTAATCTTCGAAGATTCTCACCTTCGCGGTCTTCTGATATGGACGAGCGAGATGGCGCTCCGTCTCTGGTACCGAGGTGCTCGATCTCGAGGCCCGGCGTTTCTCCTGGCTGTGCATATCCATCTTCCCTTGAATAGAGGATGCCGATGAATTCGAGGATTGAAGCCTGCACGTGGGGAGCATTCATCTTGAAGCGTGTCAGTTTCTGGGGATCCAGGTATTTCGGCTCGTCTTCAAGCACCGTGGGGTGCTGCTTGTGCCCCTTGTACAAGCACCGAACGTAGATTTTCTGTCATGCAAGAGACGTCAGCTACCCTAGAAGAAGTTCTCCACCCCATTAAGTTTTGTTGGCCATACCAATAGCGCGGCAAACTTCCAGTATTTCGACATGATATCAATCATCTTCATGTTGGCCTTGACGTTAGTGTACGCCCTCTCGCGAACAGATGGGTTGGAGCTCCAGAGGAATGGGATTTGTATCGCACAGCCACAATATGCGCCATAGCAGATGAAGCTAGGCATTGCGCTGAGTCTGTCAAATATTGATGCCACGACGTGGAGCAGTTCAGAAGTCGTGCAGGCGTGCTCATACGCGAGCTGTGCAGAGAGTTGTCGTGCCGTCGACCAGCTTTCATCAACTCCGCCCCAACAGAACAGAGGGACAATAGAGGCATGGAGAGCGCATAGAGATTGATGATATACCACATTTATTAGGAGGATGTTGGGCAGCAAATGTTTGGGTGTAGCAGATATGTTGGTCCGTGTCAGACGCATATTGGAGGGCAACTTGCGCCACCAGTCCGACAACTTCTCTTGGAGAGCATACATCGCCGGGAGCTGCGTGGCAAGGCTGGATTCGGCCGTCTTTATGCAAGAATGTACCAATGACCTATTAACGGGTTAAGCTTGTGTGAATATGCAAGGTGTAGTCTATATGATCAGCTCACCAGAGCGTCAACACCTTGATCACTTCGGCATAGATTCCTCCATTGCCCTCACCGGAGTCTAGAGTGACTCGAGCACTCCTCGAATGTCGAGCTTCGAAATCCCCTTCTGGCCATGGGAGTGCGAGCTTCTCCATACCCGCAACTGGGAAATTAGACAATGACTCAGAGTTGTGGCAGTGCATCAGGTAAGTGGCCCAGCAGCGACGTCGACGAACCTCAGACTCCCATGAGGCGTCCTGTTGAAGTGTTCCACACCCGACACCTATGATAGACAGTAGGTTGCATGCGCTTCCTGTAAAAGTATCAGCACTGTAGTCCACCCTTATTAACGATTAGGACCTTTGTGCAGAATAGCCATCCTCCATGAACCTTGGCTGTGCCAGAAGACACTCAGGTTCACAAATGTGACAAGGCTGTCTTCGTGAAGCTCATGGAGCTCGTGGAACACGAGCTTGCCTGCGCGTTGAGCCCATTCGACCATGAAGCCATGGTCCTTTAAGGTAGCTTGACCATTGTTATCCCGGTAGAAACTACGCGAGCCTAGTCAGCTACATCAACGGGAAAGAAGCAGCCCGTCTGCATACTTTGCTCCCCAGGCGCAAACTCCGAGAAGGACGTGCGGACGTGCGGTACCAGAGACCACCGCCTCGAGAAAAGATCTTCTGTGAAGCAGAAGATGAGCATTGTATACATTTTCGAAGTAGAGGTCAACCAGTGTAGACACCAATCCTTTCGGTATCCCGATGTATCGTTCTTCGAACGCTGGTTGTGGCGAAAGGACAGGTAAAGTAATTTGAGAGTTTGCGGTGCTTGTCAAATTGGTTGTTGTGGCAAGTTTGTCCTCTCGAGCTGATTTAGGCGTTTGTGAAGCACGCCTCTCATCGAACCCAGAGCCCAGAGGTTGCTGCGGCTTCGAGTGTCGCACATTGAAGGGGACACTGTAGACGCATGTATGCTTCAATCTCAAACAACGTTTGCACTTTGGCCTCTCCCCTGTACAGCGGATCTATCACGGTCAGAGCACAGGAACAAGCAACGGCCAGCTTGTCTGAGTTACCTTCTGGCTTTTGCATGTCCCACAGGCTTTCCGTGGCCGACCTGAGCCGGTCAACATGATGCATCCCGATATCTGCCAAACAGCAATATTCCCGCCATGAGGAATGCTGCGTGAATTTACACCACGGGAGCAATTCACGGACTTCGATGCGGGGCAAAGAGCTTGCAGACGGAAAATGGGGTCAGAACAACGGGGTTGTTGAGCCAAGACACGGAAAATACAAAAGCAGCGATAGCGATGACCACCTGTTGCCCCGCTGCAAGCCCTCCGTGGAAGTGACTCGAGTGGCCAAGTGGGAACAGCCACTACCGTAGGCCTTCGTTGCCGACCTCGCCATTGGCCAAGCCATCGTCGAGCCTTGTTACAATTTGCGACCTTGCAAGTAGACAGAACGAGGCTGGACAGTTGTGGACCTGTTCAGATCTATTCAGGAGAGGCTTTGTTGTCACAGCATAGTACTTTGTAAATAGACAGATAGAGGCTCGGTCAGAACAAACCATGGCAGACACATTTGATCAGTGGCAACCTAAAGCCATTTACGCAATCAACCTGATATTTCAAACCCTCACACCGGCCACCGCCCACGAGCCAGGCTGTGTGACCCTTCTCCTCGGTCTTCGGTGACATCTCTACTCATGAAGTCCTTGCTGGTGCCAAGAGCAAGAGAGGTCACCGGGCCCTTCAAGCAGAGCTGGCTTTACGGCGTTGGTTGATAACGTCTATTGTCCTCACCATGTAATCCCGCGTGGCTTCCACCTCTTCCATAGGAACCTGCTTTGATCTTTCCATCTACGGTTAGTGGCAAGTCAGCATCGTCGCTGAGATCCAGTCCGATACTGACATTGCTGCGTGAAAGGCCAATACCTCGAAACATGGATAGGGACGTTGCAGGGGCAGCTAACTTACGATTGCGGCGACCGACGCGCGGAGTTCCTCCCTGAGCTTCGGCCAATCCACATTGGTCAACTTTCCCCCAGACTTGACAATCTCGCCGTTGATCATGACTGTGTCGATGTCCGAGCCATTGGCATACAAGACAAGAGTGCCAATGGGGTCATGTGCCGGAACCAGTCTAGGAGCGTCACATCTGGTGACCAGTAGATCTGCTCTTTTACCTGGAGTAATACTCCCAATGGCTTTCTCGAGTCCAACAGCCTTGGCGCCACCCATTGTAGCGATCTCCAGTACTTCTTCGCAGCTGCGTGACATCTTTAATGGCGCGCTGTCTCCCGCTTCATGCTCAAGATGTCTTTGGGCCTGTAATAGGAGTCGCATTTGCGCAAACATGTCCGCCGGCGCACTGCAGCAGACATCGACACCCAGAGAAGCGCTGCAGCCGCGATCCTTAGCCTTAAAAGCTACGGGGTGACTCATGCCCATCTGCAGCTCAGTGTCAGGCGTACTGGATATTCCACAGCCCTGCTTCGCAATAAACTCAAGCTCATCATCACGCAAGGTATTACCATGGCTGAGTAAGAGATCCGATCCGAGCAGACCTCTTTGCCCGAACTGCCTTATTATGCAATTACCCGGATCCCATTTGCCGAAGTTGAAGTGCCCAGTAATGACCTTACAGCCAATAGATCTTGCATAATCGATTTCTTGGACGAGTCGGTCAAATGGGGTCAAGTCAGGTTCAGACAAAGCGAAGCCCATCCGCAACAGATCACCAGGCTGGCTGGACTTGAAAAACTTCTCTGCGACCCTTTTGGTATCATGGAGTCTCCAATCTGGCGTTTTCTCTTCTCGTTCTTTATCCATACATGATCCTTCCCAGTGTGGATTGGGATACATAGCATAGCAGAATGTTGCTCGAATCTTCGCATCTTGGAGCCCTTTGATGGCGGCATCAGCATGCTCCGGGGAGTTGATAATGTGCGAATGATCAATCAGGTATGTGATTCCGTTGTCAATGGAGTCCAGTGCACCGCAGTAGTTTCCGAGGTACGCATCGTGAACCGTGTAGGACGCTCCGTAAATCTGTCTCAAGTTCAATATGTAATCCGACAGTACATAGTCGGAGCCGATCGTCCTCAGTTGCGTCTGCCAAGTATGTCGATGAGTGTCAATAAAGCCCGGGGAGACAATAGCATTCGTGCCGTCGATAACGATGGGTTTCGAGGAATACTGTAGATCTGGACCGACGGCTGTAATGACGCCTTTTTCTATCAGAACGTCACAGTTTGATACGGTGCCAATATCTTTGTCGACCGAAACGACGGTGGCATTTTTGATGATATAATCAGAACCCATTGTTTATCGATGGGCCTTTGTCGTAGATGACTGTATCTTCTCACGTGTTTGGATGGACATGGAATAAGTGATAACTCGTGTTTGGCGCGTCACCAGGAAGAATGCCAGAGATATGTCTCAAACCCAAACGCGAACCCTAACATAAACGCGGGGATTCCCAACGGGGCCCGACACGGAAAACCACATGGTGTGTTCAGCTTGGACGTTTTCCGAGCTGCAGAGCCTTTAATCTCGGAGATGCATGTCGAAGAGTTTTGCTCGGTTCTGTGGAAAAAAGCCCCAAGCCGACAGAACCACGAGCGTGGCTCTCATCGGCGTCAAGCCATCAGACTTGCTACCTTGCGCCTTCACGTTTGTTGCAGTCCCTGTAAACGGACTGCTTTCATTCCCATAACAATATGCAGCTAGAATTTGAGGTTGATCTGATAACTATACACGCCATGCCTTGCCCCTGTCTTTACGTGGACGTGCATTATCTATTCGTCGTTGCCGCTACTGGGAAACACACTATATCCAACATGACCCAGGTCTTCTTTGAGCCTTTGCCCACCAACAAGAACCGGGTGGCAGTCTTGCAAGATAAACAACATCCTTGCCCACTCTGTTTCACTGGCATTCTTCCACGTATGCATCGTCGCGCGTTGAACCGCAACGTCCCCTTTGTGCATGAGCGTCCTACTTCCGTCGTCCAACTCCATTACCATCTCTCCTTCAAGTACAATGCCGTAGTCCAGACTCTGTGTGCGGTGCATCATGGACTTGTTGTAAGGTGCAAAATTAACAATGCGGATGACGGTGCCGTGCGGGTTGACGATCTTAAGATTTCCCGACGCCTTGATCTTTTCGTGCAATTTGATATCCTTGTCCTCATTGAGGTCGGGTGGGAACTCGGAAGTAGTATAGATGAGGCTGTGGCTAACTCTCATCCCTTGATATGCTTTGGCTTCTTCAACGGTCGAGCTTTGAACAATGGCCTTGCCTGTAGAATTGTGTCCAGTCACGAGGACCGTTGGGTCAGGGAAAGGTGACTTTGGGCTTTCATCAGTTCCAATACTATCCATCTTCTCGGATCGTCCAACTCGATGAACAGAAGTGCCTAGGATCAACACCCCCAAAAAAGATAATGGCGTTCAGCAGAAACAAATCCGATGTGTTACAAACCTTCATATGAGCCAGTGTGCGGAAAGGGTACAACCAAGTCCACCAAAAGTAACGGCTCTGAACACGGCGCACGCCTCGCCTTCAGGTTTATAAGCTAGAAATCTGCCAGTGCGGGATCTCGATCAATTGTCGCGGGTGGCTAGATGCCAGCAGATTCCCTCGCGTCGCAGAAGTTTGAATCATGACGAGGGAGGCGGAAAACTCGCTTTGTAGATCCTTTTTCCGCGTCCCCGTCCAGCGCCGCGAGCGTCGGACAAAATCTCCCAACAGTGAAGACCTTGTCCCTGTCCTCCTGTCAACAGTCGGGAGCTGTATGACCAGAGTCTGAACATTTCTTGAGTTGGTTCTGTTCGAGATCCTTGTCGCAGGTGGGAGGCAAATAAGGACTCTTATCTAAAGATTTCAAAAGGAAGAGAAAGCCGTCTAAATATCGCAAAAAGCAATATCAACTCTCGACAGAATAATGACCGATCTTCTCCTTTGGGACCACCCTGTGAGTCCCTTTGCTCAAAAAGTCCGTATCGCCCTCCGCGAGAAGAACATTCCCTTCGAAGCCAAGACTCCGAAAGGCGGCGGCAGTTGCAATCTAGCACTTCTAGGCCCGGAGTTCGTAAAGCACAACCACCGCCTTGAACTTCCCGCATTGGTCGACCGCGATATCAAGATCTTCGATTCGACGATCATCCTTGAGTACATCGAAGATAAATATCCCAATGTACCGCTCCGGCCAGCGGATGCCTCAGGGCGCGCGAAAGCACGTATGATCGAAGACGTGTGCGACTCGCAGTACGAAGCGATAAACTGGGCTATGGGCGAGATCGAAACGTTCAAGCGAGCTGACGGCGACTTGGCGGCGAGGATGAAGGAGAAGGCGAAGCACCAGGCAACGCAGATCCAGGCCTGGCTTACGGAACAGCTTGGTGATGCCGAGTGGTTCGGGGGCGACATGTTTGGCTATGCGGACATCTGTGTATGGCCCTTCGTGAACCGATCGACATCGTACGGCCTAGAGCCTGAACCTGGAACGCCGCTCAGGAATTGGTACGAACGGGCAAAAGAACGGAAGTCGGTGAAGTCGGTATTTGAAGAGTTCTCGGCAGGTGTAAAGGTTGTGACTGCAGCTTACGAGTTCTTGCAGAAGGGTCTGCTCAAGAGGGAGTACCGGGATCATCGGCTGGAGTGGATGATCAAGTCCGGTGGCATTGATGTCGTGAGAGAAGGGCTTGAGAAGAACAACATACGATTTCAATGGCCATCTTAATAAAGCTCGAGAAAGATGAAAACTAGACCAAGCAATTGTTCGTCGAAGGCCAAATGAATTAGACATGATCACCCTTGGTTTAGTGCTCACCATAGCTTCGAAGAGGCTATCAAGCACGCCCTTTAGCTAAGCACAGATTTGGAGGTCGTGCTGAATAGATGGTGCTGGGAACCCTCATCGAGTCGCGTTTATCAAGGGCTTGGATCGGACAAAAACACCAAGTTGAATCGCGTTTTCGTTAAAAGGATAGACGCTGCCACGTGAGTTGAGGTTGGCTCTGAACTGAGTCCAGGCTTTGATTGCGGCAGAGTCGAATCTGCCTCAAGACTCGGTGGACGTTGCCTACCAGTATATCTGCGGGAAGGAGAAGAAAAAGGAGTTTTTGATGATTTGGATGAAGAAAAAGAGAAGATTATGCCTTCCAGATAGTCTTGGTTTCGCCCAGCGTTTATTTTCTGAAGTCTCGCTCAGATTGAATCCAGATAGTTCGGTGCTGTGCCTTTTCCATTTGAAAGCCCTACTCCATATACAGAGCCCAATACACTCTACTAACTAAGTTTAATACGTCCATGTGAATCCCTCCTTGTATTTGATGAGAATGCTTGTGCAGATCCTAGGATTCCTCGAACACAGAGTACTCGCTGCCGCACTGCTTCGTCGCCATCACCTTCCCATCAGTCCTCCCAGTGTTGCTGCTCTAATAGCTGCTGTTGAGCGATCCGTAGCTGATGCGTGACCTCAAAAATATTCGACAGGTGACTCATCTCTTCCCGGAAATCCTGGAGGTGGTCAACTCGACCGCGAAGGAGCATCCCCTGAATTTCTTTGTAGATTTGTGCATATTTTTGGAAACGGTCCACGATAGCCACCTGAACCTCTCTGTCATCTTTATGACGAGAGGAATGGCGATGAAAGATACAAAATGATTCCCACAAAATCCGAGCTCTGATGAATCTCATAGTCGCGCCAGCTGCCGCCAAAAGGTCATCGACTATCTTGTCGACGGAGAGGATCTTGTTTAGTTCCAGCGGTCTCCTGGGTGCATACGATCTCCTTCCACCGGCAACGGAGGTGCCTTGGGAGTGGGGATCGGGGTCTGAATTGTCGAAGTTCAGGAGAGTCATTTGACCGACTGATTGTGGCTCGCAAAGTGGCTTTTGGTAGCTGGTGCTCGAGAGTGACCCATCCACATAGTCAGCACCGGAGCGGGGAGGCTGGACCATGGTCCTGGAAGAAGAGTTTGACCCAGCCGTGTTGATTATTGGAGCAAGCCTGGGGTATTCTTTGGTCGCTAGCTGTTCCTGGGCATTGTGAAGCGATTCACTAATGTTGAGTAGTGAAGTGGCATGTTCAAGAAGGCCAACGAGGTCGCGGTCGAGATCTCCCGTCAGTTGGACAATACTAGCTGGATTCAATATCACCCCCAGCCCTTTGTGTGTCCACGACCAAACGGGAGCGCAGTCCTTAGTTGCGTCTTCTTCGGTAAGTCCAGCCATGATGGTGATAATGCGCGTGAGAGACGGTGGCAGATGGGAAATAGAAGACAGATAATGAGTTATCCGTTGATTTGGACACGAACCAAGCTGGTGCGCCATCGCCCTTTTAAACATTTTCACCTCTCATCTTGGGGTTACGAACTATACAATCCTATTCGGCCCAGTTCTTTATTTCCTGACCGAGCTGGTGTCTCGGAGATTCCGTTCAGTTCTGTACAGCTCCTGTTGCAGACGTGCACTAACAAGCCGAAATGTCTCTTTCTTTCGGCAAGCTGTGTCTCAGATTCTCAGCCATGAGAAGAGCGCCCAGTGGCAGCAAAATCTGGATTTGGCTGGTGTTGTCGTCTTATCGAGGAGCTGATTCATCAGAGCCATTCCCATCAACCCACAGAATATAGGATGTACTTACGCAAACGAGAATGCAAATGCCTGAAATGATCTCCTGTTAGTCGTGTCCGTGCACACTTTTCTGAGGGATACTGTTACACTGGCAATCCACTGGGAATGTCCCATCCCCTGAAAAGTCCTAAGACATGTCCCGGCGGATATCGGGTGTGGATAAAACAAAGGCGTTGACGGCACTTTTTGATCTGAACGGTGTTCGAGAAGGTTGCGCACCAAAATGATAATTAAAGACTATCAGAAGGCTAATGGCGCCTTATTGATGAGTGCCGACAACCGACTTGTTGCCCGCGAAGAGGCGGAAGCTCTATGTCAACTATGGAACGTTGTGGTGTGGTCCGCGAAGAGGGTCATATCCTTATCTCTACCTAAACCGCCGAAAGCTTAGTAGAAATAGAACTCCGAGAAACTCGAGCCCGCTTAGTAGTTGTCATCGTATCGGGCATCATCACGGCCTTGGTCGTAAGCGTTGTCAACGTCGTCACCGAATCCTGATCTATCGTTAGCACCATGCAGCTGTACTGGGAAAGCGAAGAGCTCCGTAAATTGCTTCTAGTAATATTTCTCCAGGTATGAGGGGACTTACTCTCGACATCCCCGACCTTTCGACCAGCCCAACCGGCAACGTCTTCCGGCACATCTTCAACGTCCTGAACTGCGTTGTCCCATTTGCGGTCAATATCTTGGGGAATATCCTCCACCTCTTGAACCTTTTCTCCGGTCCAGCGTGCGGCATTGTCTGGGAAGTTCTCAACGTCTTGGACTCCGTCACGGAAGTCGTTCTCGACATCATTCTTGGCATCGTCCCATTTGTCCTCTGTAGTGACCGTCAGACACAACTGTCACAGGAGGAACGGGTGCAGCTCTACTCACCCACTTTCTCTCCTTCATGCATCAAGAGCGCGCCGCCGAGGAGTCCTGCAGCTGCACCAAGTGCAATATTCCGACCGGTGTGCGACTTCTTCTCTGATTCTTGCTCGTAGCGTCTCCTGTCATCTGCTCCACCATAACCTTGTCCAGAGCCACTCTCATCGTAGCCACATCCGCCATAGGACGGTTGCGGGTGCTGGAAGGTACGCTCTCCGGTTTCACGATTGACGAAAAACCAGCGGCCGTCACGCTCATCCCATTCGGCTTCCCACGGATAGGGTACCTGAGGGCGACCCCCATATGATTGGGGCTGGTCGTACGGGTCCCGGCTGTAGGAGTCTTGCGGTCGATCGTTATAGTAAGACATGGTGAGGGAGGGGGTATACCAAGTCGTGGAGGTCGTAAAGCTTAGAATGAACGTAGTGGCATCCAAGTCAGGAGTAAACAAAGTCAAGGAAGAGAATGGAAGTGTTGATGGGCGAGGAAAGAAAGGGAGAGAGGAAATGAAAGTCGAGGTTGAAACAAGCCAAAGATGACGGTGCCGCCAGTCTTAACGGGGGAGCAGAGCATGACACGGTCGCGTGGCGTAGCGTGGCACGAAACGAGCGCTGACACGTCCAAACTTCCTGAAACGATGGAGTGACTGGAGAACAGCAGATGGATGATGGTGGCGGAGGCGTTGGAGGGGTAAAATCGCGAATCAAATAGACGAGCCACTGCCACTGCCACTGCCACTGCCACTATGCGATCAATCGGTGACCACTGCACGGCCCTCAAGCGCTTCGTCCCTTTGACCTTTGTTCCTGCTTACTCATCAACACTTGCATAGTTCCTCATCTTGTATTATAGCTAGAACAGGGCATAGCTATCATCCCAGGGACAATCGATCGGCTCGCCCCGAAGCACAGCTGCCCCGCTTCTCCTGTTGATCCTCCCACTGCTAAGCTCATGGACAAGCTTCGCCCAGAAAAAGCTTGGCAGAATGGCATTAGCGATTAACCATCTCGCTATCTCGCCATGGAGACCACACCATGCCTTCGATCGACACTGCCATCTCAGTGATGGGAATCGGATTCAGGAAGCTGCGGACATGGTCGGAGCGGATGGTGCATACAACATACCCGATGGTCCTCCATGGTGCAAAAAATGCATCTCCCGTCAATTATGCTATTATTTTTTCGCGCCCCGACTCTCCTTGTCATCTTGTATTCTCTCAGTTATTTTTCCCGACAGTCATGCTCATGATATCCTAATCATCCCGCAGCTAAAACCGAGCAAAGTGCTGCAGCTCCATCTCTGAGTCCTCCCATACCAGTCCACATCCTCACGTATCTCGGCGAATGGGAACAGCCAAAGATCAGGCTGCTAGGCAATTTGAAAATCACCCTGCTCATAATGATTGTTTCCCGGAGATATCCCGCCAGGACAGCATTGACGAAGTGGGAAACGGAGAGGATGGCGAATCAGATGAGAAATTGTCGGCGTCCATGGCTCGAACTATTCGGGAACTAGAACGGCTGGTCGACGAGGCCGTCAAGCTTGCCGAGAGTGCCGGGTCTCCTCACGATAACTGCCATATTGCAGAACAACGAGGTAGCAATCTGCTCAGTCCGCCATGTCGACCACCACTGGGTCTCGCAAAGAAGGTCAGCAAATACCTAGAAGATGTCTGCACAAAGACGAGCGATTTCGTATCCCCTTCAGAAAACGGTCAGTCCCCCAAGTCACGGCCATCTGTGACAGAGCCATCTTTCCAGGGAGATGAGATAGAGATAGGGGAAGAAAGCCTTCGCGGCCGAGGGGCGTGCATTGCTGATAACCTGCGGATCCTCCTCCCAGAACCAATGGCTGAGCCTTTAGAAGAAAGAAAGACAAAATTATCGAGGGATAGGAGATCAACAGAACTGCCTTTGGATCTCAAAAGCCCGGCGGCCCGATTCCTCCGCCCTCCCCGGATTGGCCCTCGCGTCACATCTGCCAATGCCATCGAAGAAAGCAGTTCTTCCACTTCAAGGCCAATACCTACTCTCCAGCTGAATGGTGACCACCTGGATGTCCATTTTGATGAAGACAAGGAACCGTTGTTAGGTAAGCCTGGACTGGGCCACGAAAGACACTTCAGTCAAATGTTTGGGATTCCATCCCGGCACGTGAGCATCAACATGGCACACCCATCGCCCTATCCTTCCTACAAGGTTGACCTCAATGGCGTACAGCACATTGACCTCCCTGAACGAGCGGACGATCTGGATGTTCACACGACTTGTCACCATGCACCCATGGCTCGCAATTGGCCAAACTCTCGGAAGCGATTCGCTGCGGTGGTGAGCTGTATCAATGTTACTTGCCTGGGTTTACTTCTTGGGATCTATGCAGGAGAGGTCCCAGCAATTCAGTATGTCATTGTTGACTTGGACAGCCAAGTCATTCTGGGGAACCTCTTCCTCTACCTGGGACTTGCCATACCAACTTTGATATTCTGGCCTCTGCCGTTGTTGCATGGACGGAAACCCTACACCCTTGCAGCGCTCGCATTGGCATTGTGTCTGCAAATACCTCAGGGCCTGATGGTTATTGCATTCCGATCACCAGATGTGAGCAGATACCGCATTATTTTACTCCTGTCTCGCGGTATGTCAGGCTTTGTCCTTGGATTTGTGGACATCAATAACCTTGCGACAATGTTGGACATCTTCGGTGCATCGCTGCAGAGCAGTGATTCGCATGAGCTTGGCGACCCGTATGATGTCCGCCGGCACGGAGGTGGAATGGGAGTGTGGCTAGCAATCTGGTCCTGGTGCACGATAGGCTCGATCAGCATTGGATTCCTTACTGGAGCACTGATCATAAGCCATACTTCGGTCGATTGGGGCTTTTGGATTTCGTTTCTCCTCCTAGTGGCTGTTATCCTGCTCAACCTTATCACGCCAGAAGTGCGCCGATCAGCATTCCGACGAACAATTGCGGAGATCACTGGCGAGAGTGGGAGCTTCAGCAGGGTTGCTCGTGGGGAGGTCAAACTTCATCTCACCGGGAATGGGCCGTACTGGTGGGGCGAAGAGATCACCGCCGCTCTGCGGATGAGTTGGCGAATGGTCAAGCAGCCTGGCTTTCTGGTACTGTCTATTTATGCAGCTTGGGTGTATGCACAATTCACCTTGGTGTTGATGGTGAGTCATTGACCATGATTGGTAGTGGTTGGCTAACACCAACAGTTGCTTGGAGCATTGGCTTCGACTGAATACCGTTACCGTCCAGATGAAGTTGGAATCTGCGTTCTTTCACTGGCGATGGGATCAGCTTTGGCAATACCTTTTCAGACAGCTTCTTGGCTCAGTCGTTCCCGATACCACCCTCCTCGGACGGACAGCATGACATTCCAAAAAGCCATAGTGTGGCGGTCACATACGGTGCGGCGGACGTTCTTCACGATTTTTCTCCCTCTGGCAGCGATTGGATACGCCCTGTCATCAAGACAACCTCCTTTTCCCGTCGCTGTGCCATGTTTGTTTGCTGCTTTCGTTGGGTTTGGTTCGAACCTGGCCATTGCAGAGTGTTATGCTCTCACAATGCTAACCTTTGATACATCGGACTTGCAACCAGGAATGACGGGTCGCCCGCCTCCGAGATCAGTCACAGGACGAATAAGGGAACAACGAACGAATTTCTCCTGCTATCCCCGAGTCAGTGCAGGCATGGCAGTTATTCAATCTCTAAAGTTCGTGTTCGGCGCCGTGGCAACGGGCATTGGGGGTCGAGTCGAACGGAGGTACGGTGGTATGCAGGCAGCTGGCATCGTCGCGGGTGTCCTTATGGCACTGACTCTTCTTCTCACGGTTGTCCTGTTCAGATGGAAAAATGTTCAGATGATCCCAGGTCGGCAGGATCGAGTTGTCGGAGAGGGAGAAGAAGAGTGGGAGCCTGTGATCCTGGGTAACCCAACCGGATTGACACGCAAGATAAATATCCTCGAGGCGGGCGACTACACTCGGTGGTCAGAGATCCGACGGCGGAACCGGTTGACCACTCGGTCTCGGGACGCGTGAGGGATAGCTCGAAGCTTTATCTGAAGCTTGTTCTAGGATATTATAAGCCCACCATCCATAGGACTCTTTTGAATTGTTTTCCTTTGGATTTTGATCGATTCGGCACGAAGGAAACCAGTCGTTCGCGACTATTTTGATAGGCTATTTGCGGCAGAGGCAGTAGCTGCACGCTGAGTAATTTGTGTTGAGGGCAGAGGAGGCACCGAGGCGGTCGACGTGCACCTTTGTCAGCGGTTGGGAGTGGGAGGATTGAGAGATAAAGTCGGCACCGTCGTGCAGGCTAATCGTAGTTCACGAGGCTTAATCAGCAGCCAGCCGATGCATGACACCGACATGGCAGTTGCTGGGTTCGCTGGAGACGATGATTCGGCTGAAAGTGCGGGTGGTGGCAGGGGATCGCCAGGAGTGCAGGCGAATAGCTGGCGAGCCGGTGTGTGGTGTGTTTTTTTAGGGCCTCCCATCGGTGTGCTTCGTTCCTTCGGCCATGCGCACTACCTCGTACGGCCGCAAATCATGGTCAACCGAGCACCCAGCTATTCCTGGGAGAGCAAAGATCTTACCTCGCTCGCTGGATCGTGGTGGATGTTGCAGAAGCCCCTCTGACCCCCTGGTTGTTGTTTGAGAATCCAAATCGAAGACGGGAAAAGGCTGGTCGCGAGGGGGGAAGGGAGCTTGGAGGAGCCATGTCATATTTCGCAGGCGTAGCCCTTTAGCGGTGATTAGCTGCCTGCGTTGTGTCATCATGCTCTCCATCTGCACCCTCCATCACCATCGCCATTGAATTGAATCTCCTCTCACTACCGTTAGCACACACGATCCTTTCTACCTGTATCCATTGGCGATTGTTCGCATGGCCAGCATAGACTAACCGTTGCTTGGTCGACCTGGATTTGAGATAAATTCTGTTACTCTCGTTCTCGCTTCTCGCTTCTCGCCCTCACTCCAACCCTCCGTTATATTTGCCCGTCGCTCTCACTGTCTACCCTCGTATCTCCTCTCTGACCACTCTCTACGTCCAACCGGATACCGGGCTCCCAATATCCGTTCGTATCCATTCATACCGGACTTCTCGGTCCCCCATTATCGCGGTCCGAGGCCGGTTGACGTGCACGTCTGATTCCTCCCCGCCATCGCATCGCCACCACTGACCTCATACACCAAGCCAAAGAAAGGGTGTACGCCACTTTATAACCGAGATATCCCAAGACTCTGGGGACATCCCCCTAGCATAAGCCCCCTCCTACGGATCAAACATACGAATACACGCTGGAAGAGCAGTTGCGCGTCTACCAACATGGATATTGTGGATCGGGACATGGAG